GAAACTTGAGATCCGTGGGTCGTGTCTGGCCCACGACTTCATTGCATACAGCCCGTGGCCACGTGAGGCCTACCACTTAGAAAGGCTTCCAAATAACGATATCTATTTGTCACTGCAAGCTTATTTGATGTATGTCTACTTCGGAACTGTGGCCCGGCATCACCTTGTTAGTTAGAGGAAAGGAGGTGCAAACATTGGATTTGTGTTGGGGAGGCGAGCCAATATATATTTTTAGCATTATTAGAAAACCCTATAGTGTGTATTAATGCGTGGCCAGAAAACAACGTCACTTAAGTCAGTTTCCTTACCAGTTTTCTTACCCCTAATGTACTTGTGCGTCACCCTACCGCTACATAGCTGCGGATCACTCAAAACCGCAAGATAGCTACTTCTCCCTCACCAAAGTTCATCCCCTTGTTTAGGGGAACGAGCGCCACGGGGGACAGCGGAAATCTCCGTCAAGTGATGCCACCTGAGGGTGCTTAAGTTGGCCAAAGACCACACAACGTCAAGGGGCGTGGGGAATTCGGGGTAGGAAATGCACCAATCTAAATGCAATCAGTCCGCATAAGTTGCGGTAATTGGTTTGTAATTGCGACAATGTTTAACCTCAAACTGTGATTTCCTCCTGAATATTTATTTTTTGTCCAATTTAAACACTTTGGGCGGCCAGTATTAAATATTAAAGGCCTGTTTATATTTCAGTTTTGGCGGCGGCCTGCCGCACAAGCAAATTATAATAAGGGAGAAACGCAGGATGCTCGGATAATTTAATTTCATTAGCAACTGATGCCACCCACTGGTTTGCCTTGAATGCTGCACTAGGAACACCACGCGGAATATTAAGCTCAATTAGTTCCCTTTTAATTTCATTCAATTCAGTGGCACTTAACCGAGTGTCCACGTGCAATGTGAACCCTACGGGAATTGAGATTCCCACCCCGGTGATTGGAAGAACTGTCACAATTGAAGGCCTCCGATACAATCGTATCGATTTATTCGTTCACGTTTTGGTGAATGTTTGAGCTCGGGTTTGTAGCGGCCACGAGTGGCTGCAGGCTTCACTTTTAACCCATTACAGAAATACGATATATACAGAAAAAATATCCAGTCTTGCACACGTTTCGATTCATGTATTGTTCGATTAATATTTGATAGTCATCGTTACAGCCCGCCGAAAAATACCCGGTCACTTGGGCACCTGATTTATCTGCAAGCAATACAAATAATTCCAACTATGAAAACGATTAAACTATTTTTATTTGACCAGGTAAGGCCTACTGATCTGTGTAGCTCTTTTTCAGAAGCGAACTGGCCACAAATGATAGCTCAACGAAGTGGCTTATCATGTGGGAAATTATAGCGGGCCAAATTCTCTGAATGCATATTTAGAAATATTCTTTGGTTCTTTCGGTAAAGTCGCGTAGATAGATAAACAATAATAATAAAAAATTTAAGTGAATGCAAATAAGAAAAATTGAAACAACACGAATGGAGACTGTAGCCTGGTTATTAAGTTTGGTGAGTGTATTGGCAGTCTATAATATAGACTGTAGCCTGGTTCTTAACCTCGGTGAGTGTACTGGCAGTCTATAATGTAGACTGTAGCAATGGTTTTTAAACTGAGTGAGCGTACTGGCAGTCAACAATGCAGACTGTAGCCTGATTCTTAACCTGAGTGAGCGCACTGGCAGTTCTTTTTATTCACTTGACTTTACCGAAAGAACCAAAGAATATGAATTCCTGCAGTCACGAAAGTTTTAAGTCAAAATATTTCTAAATGTTGAGGGTGAAACCGAATGACCCAGAGAAAAATGCACACGACCACGGGGATACCATGCAAATTCCAAATGTACGGGCGTCAGGATCGAACGCACGACCTCCTACACACTAGACGACGGACTTAACATCTCACCACCGATACTAACTGTCCATGTACAGCCGTTTTGTCGACTGCTGCATGAAGTTCCCCCGTGCCATGCGGGTCGTGAGCGTGGTTTGACCATAGCTCATGCTGGTCAATTCGGCTTGGCGAAAGCAGGGAGCGTACGCGTGGGAGCATAGTACAATACAACAATGAGTTTTGCGGCACTTCCCTTGGCCAGCCCACAGTATTGCCTCCAAAGCCACCTGTAACAACCTATTTTCTACGTGGCGATCACCCATCCAAGCATTATCCATCCAGCCCGAGACTCTGCTGAGCGTCCGAAACACGACGAGACCAATCACCAATCCCCGTGACTAAAACCAGCCGGAAATGAGTTGCGGTGCATTTTGTTAATATTCATAGCTGTTCAGTCGATTTCTGTTTGTTCTTCTGAAGGGTCCATGGCCACTGGATGGCGGGTGTGCGCAGGTGGTCACAATCATTAGCGGCCAGCCCAGCTGAGCATTCCCATAAAATGGTGCAAAAACAAAAGGGGGACGGAACAAATATGCCGCGCAAGCAACAGCCAACCCCCATTTCCCGGATTAAACCTTTGTTGTGTTTGCGCCGACTTCCAACGTCGCCGACGCACAGCAGCCAGGCTTATCAGTGCTCTGGATTCGAGTTAAATATTTATACATCTTGATCCGTGCGTGCGCACAGTTTGCGGGATAAGTTTCGCAACGCTCAGCGTTGGCAGAGCGCGGCGCTTTTATCCGGCAAACAGTGCGTGGTGTGGGGAGCGGTGGTGCTGCGGTTAGCGCTACGCTGCGTTATGAACCTGGCGACCCGGGTTCGATTCCCGCTCACGGCCATCACCGGTGACGATTATCTGAACCGGTCCTGGGCCTCCCCTCGGTCGACTCAGCCTCACAGTTCAGTCATTCGGCAAATCACGTGTGGTGGGGTAAAGTGTGCGTAATGCCACCTCTTCTTAAATGTCTTGTCAGCGTCGGCAGGCGATGACAAAGAATTAAAATCTAACAAAATAGAAAGTGAAAATGAGTCGGGCTAATTGTGTAATATAACAACTAAATAATATGTATGTATGTTGAACTTCTTTCGTACGAGCACGTAGCCAGCCATGCTAATCAGAGGTGCGGGGGAAAGGACAACAAACTAAACACAAAAATAATTTCTAAAGAAACGAGTTTTCAACATGTATTTTAAAGTGCACAGCCTCCAAGGGCTTCCTAATATCGGAAGGAAGAGCGTTCCAGAAGGCCGCAGAAACGCGTCTCAAAGCGGTGACCGCCGCCTTTGTTCGATGGCGAGCAGCCAGAAACCGCTGCTGCTGCTGTGAGGATGACCCATAGACTCATCACACAGGGACCCATAGACTCTTCACACAGAGACCCATATACTCATCACACAGGGACCCATAGACTCATCACACAGAGACCCATAGATTCATCACACAGAGACCCATAGACTCATCACACAGGGACCCATAGACTCTTCACACAGAGACCCATAGACTCTTCACACAGAGACCCATAGACTCATCACACAGAGACCCATAGACTCATCACACAGGGACCCATAGACTCTTCACACAGAGACCCATAGACTCATCACACAGGGACCCATAGACTCATCACACAGGGACCCATGGACTCTTCACACAGAGACCCATAGACTCATCACACAGGGACCCATAGACTCATCACACAGGGACCCATAGACTCTTCACACAGAGACCCATAGACTCATCACACAGGGACCCATAGACTCTTCACACAGAGACCCATGGACTCATCACACAGAGACCCATAGACCCATCACACAGAGACCCATAGACTCTTCACACAGAGACCCATAGACTCATCACACAGGGACCCATGGACTCTTCACACAGAGACCCATAGACTCATCACACAGGGAACCATAGACTCTTCACACAGAGACCCATAGACTCTTCACACAGAGACCCATAGACTCATCACACAGGGACCCATAGACTCTTCACACAGAGACCCATAGACTCATCACACAGAGACCCATAGACTCATCACACAGGGAACCATAGACTCTTCACACAGAGACCCATAGACTCTTCACACAGGGACCCATAGACTCTTCACACAGAGACCCATAGACTCTTCACACAGAGACCCATAGACTCATCACACAGAGACCCATAGACTCTTCACACAGGGACCCATAGACTCTTCACACAGAGACCCATATACTCATCACACAGGGACCCATAGACTCTTCACACAGAGACCCATAGACTCATCACACAGGGACCCATAGACTCTTCACACAGAGACCCATAGACTCATCACACAGAGACCCATAGACTCATCACACAGAGACCCATAGACTCATCACACAGGGACCCATAAGCAAATTGGTTGTCCCAAGGCCGTAATTATTTTATATATTTGGTGGGGGGACACATCCCCTGTTTATACGATTGTGGTTATGGTTGTCCTTTATTAATCCCTAATCTCTGCCGTTACATACAACGAAACAAGAAAAGGTAAAAAAGAAAAACAGCAATGTAATACTATTAGACATTATTACACTATTATACATTTTTAAAAGTATTTTTTTAAGTCCATCCTATGTCTTTGTGAAAAAAAAATATTTTAGGCAGGATATTAGTTTTCAAATTTAGATATTTTTCTTCTGGGGGGGGGCGTACCCCCATACCCCCTGGAAGATTTGGTCCCCCCCAATGTTGACTCCATGTCTATGGCCTTGGGTTGTCCCTTATCCTTTTATGTGGTGTGTAAGGCAAAGGTAGCAGCCCTACAATTCCTCACGCTGCTGCTGCTAACAGAAGGGCTCCTTTCGTAGTTTATTTTTGTCTAACCTTGCAGGAATTTTAACGTGGTTTGTTTCTTGCCACAAACATATATTTTTAAAATAATAAAACAGGCACGTTCTGTGATGCTTGAATCACTAAACAAAGATGAAAAAGATTAATAATTATCGACGGAGCATACAAACGAAAAGTTTGCACACAAGCAGGCATGGTCATCGGAGTCACCGTGTGCCCTTCTGTTACTCATCAATCATTGGGCATACAATGGCTCCTGTATAAAGGTGACAACAGATCTCCCAGCAGAGCAAGAAGCGAGCCCTTGCTGCAGGACCTTGTCAGGACGAGCGCTGCAGACGTGTGCGTGTAGACGTTGGAGGCGCCACCACGAGTAAAATGAAGTGGCTTTGGATCTTGTGTCTCGTGCTGCCGCTCATAGCGGCAGAAGACCTTTCTCTCGTTGGCCAACCAGAAAATGACTACGATACCGAGGTGAATGCCCCATCCCGTCAGCGATGTCGTGCCACAACAACATCACGGCGTTGTGTGTTCGCCCTTTTGCTGCTGAGTGTAGTAGCTCTCGGATGTGTTTTCGGGTCGTACCGAGTGAAAAAGAGCTTCATAGCTCATCGGATTCGTCAAATGTAAATATTATTCTGTCCGGCGTGGTGTACGACGTTTCGCTCCACTTGGTGGGAGCTTCGGGAATTGAAGGCTATCGCTGAGTTCCTGTGGAAACTGACTTGGCTCAGTTCCTGAGAAAGCTCCCCAACATTTCGAGCGAAGGGTCGAACCTCATATCCAACATCATGGGTACAGACCAGAAATACGACGGAGTGCTTAGAAAATGTATTGGCGTTGTTTTATGTTACTAATCAATGAAACCTCTTGGTGGATACGCGTTTCTTTCACGTACAGCTTTACGTTTAAAAATTACATATTTGACATCATTTTGATGGGTGATGCCTAAAAAAATACAAAGTTAACCTCCTACAGACGTGTTCTTGTTACTTGTGTGATGGGCAATATTAAGTTCCAATGCCTCTCAACCTGAAAGCCTGTTAAGTTAATATCATCACAAAACACCACATAACGTGAGCATTCGCTGGCCCAGCAGCAACAGCTTGCAGTGAAATGTTGACTCCTCCGTCAATTTGCTCGTCACCATGAGCGCCACGGCCGGCGCCTGCTGTTACTCTGGACGATGCGCGGACCATTTAACCCTGACGAGCGTTTCTCTTTCCAGGATGACATGGCCGCTGACCCCAACAGCAATAACACCGGCGCTGTGAGTTACGCTCCCAAACCCACATCAGACTAGCACTGGCGGTGGGCTATGCACGGTGCAAAAGAAGTTCAACATACACGCATTTAGTAATACAACAATAATAATAATTTACAAGCCTTTGTCAATACACTTCTGTGCTGCGTTAGTTAAGGGGTTTTCTTCACCATACTTCACAAACTTGGTCAAAATCTGGAGTGGGAGGGAGGGGGAGGTGCAGCAGAATTCAGATTTCACTGACCACCGAGGTCAGATGATGGACCAGTAATCAAACTCAGATGACGCTTCCACGTTCACGGTGCAATTCACTAACCACTGCACGACCTGCTCCATCCATCGCGTGCGAGCAAGTGAACCAATGTGAGTCAGTTACTCGGACCACACGCTGAGCAGAGACCTGCGAGGGGAGACCCTTCCAAAGGTAGTCGGATTGGTAGGCTGCGTCCGCTGGATCTACCTGCAGGCAGGGCCGGATAAAGGCGTGGGGGCTTTAGGGGCTGCAGCCCAGAGGACCTCCACCAGCTGGAGGGACCTCCAGAGGTTAAGCGAAAAGTTGTTTCATTTGTGAATGCTGAATTGTATTTGTCGTTAGCCTTGTAAAAAAAATTTTATATTTTTCTCTAACTTTCTATTCCTTAAATTTTGACTTAAATTTTCGTGACTGCAGGAATTCATATTCTATGGTTCTTTCGGTAAAGTCACGTAGATAGAAAAAATTATAATACAAATAAACTTTATAAAAATAATCTTGCTTTGGTCATCATCATCTAAAAATAAACTTTATAAAAATTTACTTTATTCTTATTATTTTCTATCTACGTGACTTTACCGAAAGAACCACAAGAATATTTGTTTTCCTCTTGAGAATATTACTGGGTGGGGGCCTCACATCACCTGTAGCCCCGGGGCCTACACAATCTTAATCCGGCCCTGCCTGCAGTGAGATGCCCATCCTCGGGGAGTGGCGTGAGCAAGCAAACGGGGGGCTGCACCTGAACCGTGTCGCCGACGGCGATGACTTCCCCCAGCATGGGTGTTGAACTGTGCCGTTGCTGACACCACCACCCCGTTTTTCCATTGCAGACGCTGGACGTGAGGGGAATGAGGCCAATGCCGAGTGGCACCAGGGTGAGGAGGCCACCGCTGCCGCCACCGGCGTCTGGCTCCGGGCGCCGTTACGAGGCGCGACCCACCAGCGCCCCCAAGGCCGGCCTGGAGGCCCAGAAGGCGATCCGCGATGAGGGGGGCTGCATGTTGCCCGAGAGCGACCTGGTACGTACGTGTGTGTGTGTGCGTGTGGACATGCAGCGGTGGTGTAGAGGTTAGCGCGCTGCGTTACAAACCCTGGCGAGCCGAGGTGAAATTCTCGCTCACGGTCAACACCGGTGACGGTTATCTGAACCGTTCCTGAGCCGCAACTAGTTAGACTCAGCTTCAAATGAGTGCCTGGTGAGATGTACAAACATCGCCACTGGGGAGACAAAGGCGGCCGGGCGTGGTGTTGGCCACCCAGCCTCTTTTGTGCCGTGCCAGCCTTCATAGGTGCTCGCTAACAGCACTTGCCCCTACAGTCTGTTAAGGCTATATGTGGGATATTTTATCTCTGTCTTTGTATATGTATCTTCATTGCTTGGCAAAAAAACTAATATTTTACGTTTCAGAGAATAAATGAGCCACTTTCAGTGAACAAATAAAATGTACTGTGATTTTGTTTTAATGCAGCAGTAATTGGTGACGATGCTGTGCCCTTCAGCGAGCTGCACTTGAAAATCGAATGTAACCGTGGGTGTGTGAAACTCACATTCTGATCCAGGCCCTCAGCGGTGCCGGATCAGTGATCTTACTCTGAGCCACGTAGGCCCACCTCACCCACAGAGCTGTTTTTTTTTACGAACAACTTAATTAATTAACGAGCTCATTGATAAATTAATGAGCGAGTTGAATACATTACTTGAGCAAGTGATTGATCGAGCGAATTAACGATCGATCCTATGAATACATAAATAAATAAACGGATGACCGAACAACTTGAGCGAATGAACAAACGGAAAGCGCTTCATGGGTGTCCTGTGCTGTGTTGTGGGGGGGGGGTCAGGGCGTGTTGTGCCCGACGGGCTGCGAGCTGCGCGAGGAGCTCCTGAAGCAGCGCGACCCGGTGCGCTACAAGATCTCAATGCTCAAGCAGAACCTCACCTACTTCATCAACAGCTTCGACCGCATGGCCGCCGACTCCAACACGCTCAAGCAGAACGTGCAGACGCTGCGCAGACGCCTCAACGGTGAGCGGCGCTCGCACGTGCGCCTGACGCACGTGCACACGCGCACACGCGCACACGCAAAGGCGACGGACCCCGCTGTCAGCGAGCACCTGTTAAGGCCCGACACGGCACGCAAGGGGGTCGATGGGCAGCGCCATGTCCTCTGTCTCCCCAGTGCTGACGGTTACACACCATACCAGGTACTCATATTACAGCTGAGTCGACCTAAGGGAGGGCCAAGTACAAGTTCAGATGTTCGTTATCGATGCTGTTCGTGAGTGGAAATCGAATTTGGGTCGCCGGATTCGAGGGCTTAAGATGTCACTGGGTACTTTTTGGATTGTTAGTAGGATGGAATACACACGTGACTTAGTAGCTACAGTCATCAGTTTAGAAATAATTTGCAGCCGTTTGTCAACGGTTGATGAATCTCTCCCTATACAACTTCAGCCATGGGTAGTTGTTTGACCATAATTGACCACGCTGGCGCAGTGAGGGGTGGGTGGTAAGACCAGTTACAATATCACTCACCACTGATATCAGTCCTGGCTGGGATTATCACTCAGATAACCAGGTTCATAGCGCAGTGCGCTAATGGCTCCAACCACTACATCAAACCCATAGCAAGGGGAATACTTGATGTAGTGGGCCAGGCATTTAATTTTTTTCCCTGTCATTGACCCGGACAAACCTGGCTGAAATTAAGGCCAGCCATGGGCCCCACTTTTTATTCGAAGGTTTCCACTGTGCTAAGGCTAGAAACACAGTTTTATATTTTTACCCAACGTTTTAAATTTTAAAAAGGGGCACAATCCATTGGTGTCGCTTGGTGGGAATGGCCCATTGTGCAAGAAATGAAATGGGGGCCCCATTGTCCAACTTCAAATTGATGATCTGGAAGCACCTGGGCTCCTCCACTCTCACTCGTGAGCCCTGGTGCAGTCACACCGCCTGTACACTCGACAGCGACGCCACTGTGACTCAATCTACCAAATTAAGTTGGGCCCCTGTCCAATTTAACATAATTGAGCTGGCCGAGCCTCAGCCTTCTGGCTCGTAGTGCCCCGGTGCAGTTGTGCCGCACGCACGCTGAATAGCGACGCCACTGGCACTCTCTCAAGCGATAAACAGAAGCCTCACCTTCGCGTAGCTGACGCCGAGATGCGCGGGGCCGCTGTGTGACAGGAGCAGCTCGCAGCAGCACCCACGTGGATGCGCAGAAGGAGATAGAGAACCGCTACAAGGAGGTGAAGATCCGCATCGAGTCAACGGTGGCCGGCTCGCTGCGCTCCATGAAGTCCGTGATGGAGCACCTGCGAGCCAAGATGCAGCGCATGGAGGAGGCCATCAAGACGCAGAAGGAGCTGTGCAGCGCGCCTTGCACCGTCAGCTGTCACGTGCCCGTCGTGTCCGGAATGCGTACGTAGGGGGGCTCGCGACGCGTTAGCACGGCAACTCACTCGCTCGCGATTGTAGGTGGCAATCGTCGCCCCACTCCCCTCCCCCTCTGGCCCCCCCGCTCCTGGCAGACTAAATGCCGGTTTGCAGGCCAGGTGAGTTCACCTTGGGCCCGCAAGGGATGGCTGCCACTAGTGGGTGCCCTTTCAAATGTGTTGATGGGATGAGATGTCAAAAACGAATCATTGAACGATACAATTCGGATTTATGACGCTTCTAAATTCGGTTGCATTTCAAGACTCTACAAGACACGTCTCTTTCCTAGCAACTGCTTAACTTTGGAACTCCTTCCTATCGTACAATTCCCATGTCCTTTTAACCTTGCTCAATACAGGAAACACGTTAACTATTACCTGTTACACCTTCAGGAGTGCTCTTTTAGTGTTGCGTCTTTGCACTTGTGCTCAGCAACTGTGATACAAAAAAAATATTGGCTGACATGCAGCTCAAATGAATTCGTATTTTTTTTTCCCAGATATTTTTTTTCAACTGGGAGAAAGTGATGGGTAGGATGTGATGATAATAGGGTTTCGTCAAATAGAGTTTAACTCTCAAGGTACGTGTGTAAACTCAAGCGTGTGACAATTATCTACCAGTTATGTTAAACATATTCCAATATAACAATTCGGCGAATGGAGTGAGCAAAACTGTTCAAACGAGACGGAAAATGTCTTAACAAGAATCAATTCTCGATTGAATAGCGAATCAAAACTGTGACATTCCCCATCAAACTGCTGGCGGTGGAGGCTGGGGGTACATTGTAAACATTAATGGGGACGCATGTGGTCCCGTGGTTTACAGACTGTGAGGACATCTATCGAAACGGTGGCCGCACAAGTGAAGCGTACTACATCCAGCCGGACCTCTTCTCAAAGCCCTACAAGGTGTTCTGCGACATGGACAGCCACGGAGGAGGTGAGATCTCAATCGGGACGTGGTTGCTGCCCGTTTGAATTACTGAACGGCTCTGAAGTTTAAATAACAATGTGAAATAAAATATTTAAAAAATTGCCATCTGAAAGATCCAGAGTAGACAGGTGAGGAGGGTTTTTCTTTCATCCAGCAATGGATTTTGACAAAGCGGCTTTGAATTATTTTGATTGTTGTTGTTTTTTTTGTCGAGCACGAGACAAAATCCCTGTTTTACTCTGACGCTAATAATTTACACTTCTAGGCTGGACCGTCGTCCAGAACCGAGTGGATGGCAGCTCCAACTTCGCGAGAGACTGGAACACCTACAAGGCTGGGTTTGGAAACATTGCCTTCGATAACGGGAAGTCCATTTGCAACATTCCAGGTAACTTTCCTGACTGCAGGGATTCATCTTCTTCTAGATTTGAAGCTTTCGTGACTGCAAGGATTCATATTCTTAGGTTTTTTCGGTAAAGTCACGTAGGTAAAACATTAAAAAATTAATAAAAGTAAAATAAAATAAAAATCACGACGTTTCGGAGGCAACACAAGCTTCCGTCTTCAGGTGGAACCGTCACGACAGCTGTATCAAGTACTTGTATCAAGTACTTGTATCAAGTACTTGATACAGCTGTCGTTGGCTGTGACGGTTCCACCTGAAGACGGAAGCTTGTGTTGCCTCCGAAACGTCGTGATTTTTATTTTATTTTACTTTTATTAATTTTTTAATGTTTTACCTACGTGACTTTACCAAAAAAACCTAAGAATATTCATCTTCTTGGTTCTTTCGGTAAAGTCACGTAGAAAGGAAATAATAAAAGAATAAATAATCAAACATTATAAAATACAAAAATAAAACAAAATAAAATACAATTGTGAGAATTGTATTTTATTTCGATTTAAAGCTTTCGTGACTGCAGGGATTCATCTTCTTGGTTCTTTCAGTAAAGTCACGTAGAAGGGAAATAATAAAATAATAAATAATAAAACATAATAAAATACAAAAATAAAACAAAATAAAATACAATTGTGAGAATTGTATTTTATTTCGATTTCAAGCTTTCGTGACTGCAGGGATTCATCTTCTTGGTTCTTTCGGTAAAGTCACGTAGAATTGAAATAATAAAATAATAAAAATAAAACATAATAAAATAATTCTCACGACGTTTCGGCCACAACGCAAGTAGCCGTCCTCAGGTGGAGAACAGGTCTGTCGAGGAGACTCTGTAAAATCGGCAATCTGCGCCGATTAGAACTTGGTCTGTGCCGTGGTGTTACTGACTGGTACGGGTAACCTAACTTGTCGCGCACGGCCTCGTGCCATCATCGGTCGGAGCTCCTCCTGCGGTCATTTTTGAGGCTCTCGTTAAAAAGTCTTGAGACTCCGCGAGACTTTGTTAAATGACTCTCGTAACTATTCGCCTCTCCATCTGGCAGTGCTCCAATTTCTTGGTGCAAATTAATAACGTGGCATCGCACTGCACGTTAGTACATTACAACTCAACGCTTACAGTACAGGTAAAAAAAAAATGCACGAAAAAAGTACAAACATAAATGATGGAATGCAAGAACATATCAAATGAACAATGCACATATTAACCCAGAAACAAGCCTGCTCATGACCCACGCTGTACAGCTGCCCGTAGGACGCCCGGCACATTCGCCAACAATTTCCCCGTCTCCCCCAATCCCCGGTCGAGTGCAGGCGAGTACTGGCTGGGCACGGAAACCGTTCACCAGCTGACTAAGCAGCACACGCAGCAGGTGCTGTTCGACATGAGCGACTGGGAGGGCAGCAGCGTGTACGCTCAGTACGCCAGCTTCCGGCTGGAGAACGAGGCGCAGGGCTACCGCCTTTGGGTGGAGGATTACAGCGGCAACGCAGGCAACGCACTGCTGGATGGGGCCACGCAGCTCATGGGCGACAACCGCACCATGACCATCCACAACGGCATGCAGTTCAGCACCTTCGACCGAGACAACGACAACTGGTAATGGTCGCACGCCCCGTCCTTGCACTTCGCGTGGAGTTTTGCGCACGTGTGCGGCAGTCGGTCGGTTGGCGCGCTGCGCGACGAACCTGGCGACCCGAGTTCGATAACCCTCTCACGGCCAACGGCGGTGGTGAATATCCGAACCTTTCCTGGGCCTTCCCAAGGTCGACTCATCGCTTCAAACGAGTACCCAAACATTGACACTGGGGAGACAAAGACGGCCGGCCCGGGTGCTGGCCCTAACCACCCTCTCGTGCGCCACGCCAGGCTCCCAGACGAGCTTATTAACAGCACTTGCCCCAACAGTCTGTGTGGTTATACGGGGGATCTTTGTGTCCGTGTGTTGTCTCCGCTATTTCCCGCACGGTGCTGTTTTATGGGAAGCAAAACAAGTTGTTCGCTGAGGGCCCCTCGCCGCTAAGCCAGTGCCAGCGGGGATGAAGTCTTTCATGGGTTTGAGAGTACACTTTGTGAGCAACCAGAAGCGGCTAACAATTCCCATTGCAGCCCATTTAGAGTACGCCGTGCAAAACAGGACTACTCTGTGTTCTGTCAATATTAGCTGTGGGAAACTTTTGAAAAAATCCAGAGCGTGTTATAAAAGCAGGGTTTTTAAAACTCCGCCGGTGCGGTTATGACAGCGTGAATGAATGAACGTGTTTAATCTTAATTTTGGAGCTTTCGTGACTGCAGGAATTATTCTTTGGTTTTTTCGGTAAAGTCACGTATAAAAATAAAATAATATAATAAATTAAATAATAGCATATTTAATTTATTATTTTATTTTTATACGTGACTTTACCGAAAAAACCAAAGAAGAACGTGTTTAAATCGGCTCAGAACCCACCGAATTAATTACACAAATTGAACAAGGGCAGGATTGCAATTAAACAAGATCGGCACCTCGCAGGATTTTTCTGCACTGCCCTCTGCTGCCCACCAAGTCACCCCACAGGACAACCTGATTGTGTATGCTGTTTAACTTCCGTGATTTGACGTTCCACAGGGTTGAGACGCTAACTACCTCGCCTGGTATACAGGAGGTAATTGGTTCGATCCCGACCCTGACGCCTGTATATTTGGAGTTTGCATGTTCTCCCCGTGGCTGCATGGATTTTTCTCCATGTCCTCCAGCTTTTCCCCCCACATTTAGACTCAACAACACGCGTTCAGAGAATTTGGCTCCGATACATTTCCACGTGATAAGCCACTTTGTTGACCTGTCATTTGTGGGCAGGTCGCTATATAGCTCAGTGGGCCTTACCCGGTAAAATAAAATAAAAAATATTTTTACGGTTTAGTTTGAGATCCGGGTAAATTTGCCACTGGCTCTTCTCTAACAAAGTTCACTTCTCCAGGAACCCCGGCGACCCGACCAAGCACTGCTCGCGCGAGGACGCTGGTGGTTGGTGGTACAATCGCTGCCATGCAGCCAATCCCAACGGCCGCTACTACTGGGGCGGCATCTACACCAAGGAGCAGGCGGACTACGGCACGGACGACGGCGTTGTGTGGATGAACTGGAAGGGCTCCTGGTATTCCATGCGCCAGATGGCCATGAAGCTTCGACCCAAGTGGCCCTAGCCGTTATTCTGTCAATTTTTAAAATATACTCTCACGAGCCCTTTTGATGCGTTGACGGGTTGTTCCGCGTCTTTGCCGGCATGACCCCAAAAAACATCGGAGAGCCATACAGCACAATCTTGAAAAGCTACGTGGAGGCGTACTTTCATAAGGCCCGCGAAATTTCCATGGGATTATTTTCAAAAATCAGTTTGAACTTCCATCAAAATGATTGTGTTTTTTGATAGGGTACAGGACCATTCTGGTTTGCAGCAGGGTTTTGGAGTTGTAGAAACTGAATGCATAGAATTATATTGTGGGATGTGATTAAATATGTGGCCGTCAATGAGATACTGAGTATGTCAATTTTATGTGACAAGTGAGGAAGCTGTCCGCAATGATGAAGGCTAAAACAAAGAGTGCAGTGAGTAAAACTAACAATCATGCCTTGTTCCCCACAGAGCCATCTCTGTTGCATTTTGAATTCCGATTAAAAATAACGCTTACAACAAAAGTAAAAAAAAAGAAATACAAAGGGGCTTTGTTTGGAGTTGTACTGTCAGCGCCTTGAAAAATAATGCATTTTAAATTAAGTGTTAAAAGAAAGCCGGTGCATTTCTGTTCTATTTGACCTATTTCCAAGGGAGGGCCCCCGCCTCCTCCCCCAGAACAATATCTTAACTTTATCAAAAAAAACAATGAAAATAAAAAAATATAAAAAGTTGAAGGTCTTTTCTTCCATGGCTGTATACATTGACTGAGGCTGTTTGACATCAATGAGAGTGACTTCAAACACCAATAAAAATGAGCACCTGTCTATGCTCCATAAGCTTACACCGTCTTGTGCCATCTATGGATTAAGTATGCTTTTGTTTTACAGATAAAAGAATGAAATATTTACTCAGAAAGGGACCATGTTACACGCACAACATGGGGTAATCATGCCACTCTCTAATGACTGACACAAATATGACAGGTGCCTGCATTTAATATTTTCGTATGGAATGTGCGTGCACCTATAATAAGAAATAATAACACTGATCTTAGCATGTGGAGAAACCTTCCCAAATGGAATGTAAAAAAAAATATCAATATTTTTACAAACTGCAGCAGCAGCTTACACTGAAAACCCACATTTAAAATATGTTTTAACAGAGGTGGCTCAGAAGGATAATACCAACATCAGAGCATTGAGCCAGCACTACTCATGCTCCGCTGTCTGGAAATACTGTACACAACAACTCCCAATTAAAGCAGCTTCTCAAGGTCACCAAAAGATCGCAACAACAACAACAACAACAACAAAACATCAAACAATATTTTGATTTTCACTTATTTTTCTTATTCCAGCTCCGAGGAATGAAACGCATTCAAATAAATTGCCATGGGCCAAAAACCCCTAGAGCAGGGCATATGAGAAAGTTCACCACCCGAGTGTTCATGAGAAGACGATTTCCCCAAAACATCACCCATTATATTTATTATTACTTGTAATGCAGTGTTATTGACACATTTGTTGACTTTGTTGTTCTTTGTGCTCGTGCACCACCGGTAACGCATGACAAAAAAACAAGCTTTTTTTAGGTGTGGATAATAGGCGATTGTAGGGACCTCAAGGGTAGTTCTTTGACATCCACTTCCAGGCGACATACCCTGACACGGTGTGATGCACTGCTTTCTGCGATAGTTCTGAATGTAAATGTCTTCATCTCAACTCGAAGACACTAGGACTCAAAGGTGTTTTACAAAATTCAAAAGAGGCTCATCAACGCTGTTCTAAGACGATACCCCACTCACGTCCTCTCTTCTGCCAACAAAGAATTCAACAACACACACGTGACACCATGTTGGCAGTGGTGCACAAGCACAAATAACAAAACCTTATCACATTTTTGCCAATAAAACTGCCATAAAAATATATAACAGGCAACATTTTGGGCAATGGTCCTTCTTTATGGCCAGAGAGATTTACAGGCCAGAGAGATTGAGTGCAAGTCTCCAACTAATCTTCTTGGTTCTTTCGGTAAAGTCACGTAGAATGGAAATAATAAAATCATAAAAATAAAACATAATAAAATCATTCTCACGACGTTATTTTATTATTTACATTCTACGTGACTTTACCGAAAGAACCAAGAAGATGTATCCCTGCAGTCACGAAAGCTTCAAATCGAAATTTCTCCAACTAATGTTCACTCAATCTCTGGCCTCTCTATGTAGCTGCTCTGAAGACGGACGATTGTACAAAAACGATGCATATTATGGAACATAGCATTGATCACTAACCACGTAACTCTATTTGCCTTTAATTAACGTTAATCGCCAATATCAACATTCTGGTGAAAATAATTGATGGTGCATATGACGGTGTACTAGGCTTTTTAGTGTAATCCCAAACCTGGGGCATACAAAGTCTGCATCATGTGCTCAATTCCGGCATGGCTATGTCTGCACAGCATGCCAATAGATCACAAGCCGACCGCTAAGTTCATATTTGGCAAACCTTCGTAGCGACCTTTAGATGCAACCTTGGCTTATTTACCCAGCGATGTCAGATTAGCAGCTTAGCAATGGCAGGACACGTGTTCGTGAGTTTTGCATCAACAAAATTCCTGGTTTATCTCGACTGATAAAAATGTTGCAGTTTTTGCAGATAGAGCTAATGATTAAGGACGAAACAATATTTCCCGTAAAATGAATGTGAAATACTTCACTCCACTGCCAAATGTACTATCGTATCCGTAAGCCTATATGCGCGTAAGAACAATTATCTGAACGTGTCTCTTTGTCGAATGTCTGTAGACTTATAGTCGATAAAGTTCACTTAGCACTCAACTATTAAGGCTGGCACAACAGGGATAGAAACATCTGTTTATGGATGTTTCTTCTTGACCGTATACTCCAGATCGTAAGACGCTACAAACGTTAAAATAGACATTAAAACGCGCCCTACACGTGATTTCCCGGTGTTAATAAAATCATAAACACCGTCCACAAGACAACACGTACTCCGCACTTTTTATTTATGTCTGTACGGTTGGCTACGCATGGTGCAAAAGAAGTTCAACATACACACAAAGATCCCCCATATAGCCTTAACAGACTGTAGGGGCAAGTGCTGTTAGCGAGCACCTATGAAGGCCATACACACACACACTGTAAGACATGTATGTCCTGTCCATTGCTGGCCTTCATCCAGCAGTGGATAGGTCATGGCTGATGATGACTTGGCTGTCCAAGGCAGGTGTGAACCACCGTTATTGTGCTTCTTGTCATTTTATATACTTTATTTTTTATTTATTTTAGTGATTTTCTTACCCTTTTCTTCACTTTACACTCCTATCGTTTTGTGCATCGCTTGTTGTTTGTAACTCGGTATGAAAAATAGCTTCACAGCTCATCGGATTCCTCCACGATAAATACAGATTCTGATTCCATAATCAGAATAAGTTCGCATTTTTCCCCCCTATTTTCTACTCACTGTTAACTTCATAGCCTGATTGATGACAGCAATTTCGCTCGACGATTTCCTTTTTACAAAAAGTTAGACAAACGCCGGCCTGTCAATGAGCACGCTAGCTTCACGGCAGTGTGGCTCCCATTGCATTCCTGCGTGCGAGCGCGAACGCATCAATCAGACGACAATCCGCACGAGTTGCCTCCCAGCGTTCGCCTCTGCACACACCACAACGGCACGCGCACGCACGCGCGCACGCCCGTAGGGGGAGGAGGAGGAGGAGGCTGCATGCTGTTTTGTTTTTGTTTCAAAGTGAATTCCGAGAGCGACGATGAGAGCGGCACGTGCACACCGTTCGTTCGGTGCCTCCGAATAAAATAAAATAATCAAATGAGTAATTCCCCAACCACTCTCATTTCACTTAAGGTGCACATGAATGGATGACGGCCTCCACACTCTGTGTTGGTCTCACGGTGGGCGTTTCTACCACCACCACCACCCCATAAATTTCGATTTAAAGCTTTCGTGACTGCAGGGATTCATCTTCTTGGTTCTTTCGGTAAAGTCACGTAGAATGGAAATAATAAAATAATAAAAATAAAACATAATTAAAGAATTCACCACCCCATACTTCACCACGCTGGTCAGTGCGGGCTGGTGAAGGGGAGGTGGACGGGGCCGGGTTCAGAATCACTCCCCAGCGATGTTCGCCGTGGCCGGGAATCGAGTTCGGTTTCCTTGAGCATAGCACGTGAACCACTGCACCATTTACTAGGACACTAAAAGGTGGCTCAATGGTCAGAGCGCAGAGTTGGCACGTCTGAGATCCTCGGTTTGAATTTCGAATTTCAGCCATCCTTGATAACAAACAAAAAAACTGGATCCCAAGCGTAGCATATCGATGGTGTTAGCCCAGTAAGCAATGGCTGCACAAACAAAACATGATGTGAAAGTTGGCTTTACAATTGAGTTGGCCAAATTCCAGCTACAAGAAAATTGTAATATGTACGGTAAATAATTTAATCGCCTTGACTGTCCAGGTGACAATCTCGTATGCAGAACTTATGGAAGTGCGACCTCTACTGTAGTACATTATTTTTAAAAAGCCGCTTGAATATTTGTCATAAGTCCTGCTTACATCTCTTTGATCTCTCCGACATGCCCTTCTCCAACACACGGGATGCACAACTCTGTGGAGTGAAAATGTTGAATGACTTCTGAAGAGCATCGGATGACAAGAATCTGACGGCAAAATTGGAATAAATAGGGGGGAAATAAATAGACAATTTTATGTAAGGAACGACACGAAGGCATGTGCCAAAATACTTGATGATACAGATAACAATACATCAATTCGTCGCTTAACACTCATGCATATGCCCACGCTACCTGTTTCAAATTGTTCCTGTATGAACCTTTGTTTGACGACTTTTGCAAATGCTATGCATATTTCCCAGTTACGTTTTTTTTTAGCATATAAATATTGTAGGAATTATCGGCAAAGAGCAATACAAATGGAGATGGTGAAACCAGACAATCGTAAATTTATACCGGAATGAAACTACGAGTTAAAATGTGATTTTTCATCGAATTACTACTGGCTTGGTGCCCAGTGCGCGAGGCTAATGTTTATCAGCGCCTGCCTTGACGCAAAGCAAATATAATTTTCAAGTTGCTTTCCCTGAATTGTTACGGGAACTCCTGGCACCGTTTTCCAGAATTTTTCCAATAAATAACCCGATTGTAAATGTGACTCGCACAGGAAGTGCGTGTTTCAACGATTACACAATGGCACACAATGGTGAAGTATAGTCACAGATGCCGTGCATTTTTTCTTTTTACAGTTGCGGATTGTGGCTTCTGCTAGCTTTGGTGGGATGTCTGTTAAGGTAATACGATTGTGGCTTCTGAACTGGTTTCAATTCTATCGCTGTTGACACCAACATCTTGGCTTTTAAGCCCCTAGGCTGCACTGTGGATGCTCTTCGCAATTTCGGGCTGCCAGGAAATTTATCACAATAAACTCCAAATAATTGTTCACTTGGAATTCACGTCTCACCTCGGGCTATGTCACCCACACGAGCCCAAAGAACCCCGAGGTTTTGACTTTATAGCAAAATTGACTCGTAATGAGTACATGGAGTTTGTGTTACACTATTAATGGACATGTTGAATCTGTTAACACTCTTTTATGATTGCCGTAGTCGAGTCAGAGCCCAATGCTGTTACTGCCACTGCCACGGAATTTTGCCATCACTTCAAGCTTCATTCTTCCGGATTCCCAGAGTCGTTATGAAGTCGATCACCGACCTTCACGCATCCTCTCTCAAAGTAGCTACCCCCCCCCCCCCCCCCCCCCCCCGTCTACCGTTTGGTATCTTTTTCTCGTGTGCTTGAAGTTGATTAGTCCACAGTTTTCTTAATACAGGGTGTTTTAAAACGATGGACCCGATTTTAAATCGCTATATCTCTGCAACCACGAACCGCCCATGAATTAAACTCTTACCACTTGAGAGGGCGGGGCCTAGAGAGGGCGGGGCATAGAGGGAGCGGGGCATAGAGTTTCAAATCGTTACCACGAGATGCCTCTCCCAGCGCACAAACAGCCCCTAGCCTCAGTCATTCGCCGCAAGATGGTGACCCCGCAACACAAGGGGCGTTTTGTGTTCTGCAGTCCAGCAAGACTGAATCCGTAATTGCGGTGCAGTGTGCGTTTCAACGGCGTTTTGGCATTGAATCCGCCAATATCAAAGAGCATTCGTCTTTGGTACCGACAATTTGAGGAAACAGGCTGTTGATGTAAGGGGAAGAGCACAGGGCGACCACACGCACCTCAGAGGAAAACGTGAGAAGAGAGGCGTTTGGGACGAATTCAACTATCGTCTCGATGTTGTCCGTACAGCAGGTGGAGGGCAATGGTTAGTAAAACGTAATAACTCATTGAACCGTTTGTAACTTTTTCTGTAATTGTAACATGTTGCCATCGTGAAATATACTGCTTTGAAATTGGGTCCATCTTTTTGAAAAACCCTGTACATTTCGATTTAAAGCTTTCGTGACCGCGGGGATTCATCTTCTTGGTTCTTTCGGTAAAGTCACGTGACTTTACCGAAAGAACCAAGAAGATGAGACCCTGTACATTTCAAGCGTCTTGTCGTCTCACCTCTGCACGTAGGCCTCCCCCACGCCATGTTGGTTATGGCGAGGGAGTTGGTCGACCGGTAACTTCACCACGCCAGTCGGTAATTGGTCGGTGAATGGGGAAGGCCAGCACCGGTTCAGAAGTCACTTGCCACCGATAGTTTGCCGTGGGTGAGAAACCACGCTCAGATCGCCAGGTTCATAACGCGGTGCCCCCAATCGCGGCTGCCGCGCGTGGCGTTGTACGGACTATAGGGGGTCACAGGGCTATACCTAATAAAATAGATAAAATTAACTGAACTGTATTAATAACACAAAAGAAACCCTCATTATGGGATAGGTCAACATTCATGTCATCCATGTGATGTTGTGTTATTATATATGCCATAACGAAGCCCACTTAAATCAAAACCAACACTTAATAAATACCTCATAACTCGACGAAATGTTTTTCCTAAGGGCTCTCGAACACACTGAAATCATTACAAGTCAAAACATAACTTCATTAAAATAACCTACTGTCCCCAAAGAAAACACACGCGAAGGACGCATATGCCAGTTACGATCAGACCGCGAGTACGGCTAAGTAGCGTTGCGCTTGGAATCTAAATTAAACTTTTTTTGGGTCTTTCGGTAAAGCCACGTAGATAGAATTTTTTTTTTAAATATCACTACGTTTCGATCACAACACAAGCAATCGTCATCAGGTGTTGCGATCGAAACGTCGTGATTTTTTCTTATTTTTGTATCTACGTGGCTTTACCGAAAGACCCAAATAATATGAATTCCTGCAGTCACAAAAGCTTCAAGTCAAGATTTAAACTGTTTTTGTCTTACCAGCTAAGGTCCACTGAGCTACATAGCTTTTCAGAAACGACCTAGTCGCAAATGATAGCTCAACGAAGTGGCTTATCGTGTGGACATTTACAGCGTCCAAAAAATCTAAACGCGTGGTGGGAAAACTCGGAGCACACGGAGAAAAATCCACGCGACCACGGGGAGAGAGAGACACGCAGGCATCGTCAGGGTCGTGATCGAACCCAGGACCTCTTGTATAGCACGGCGAGGTAGTTAACATCTCGCAGCCACCGTGATGATGATGATGACAGAAAGAGACGCAAACTCCAAATATACAGCAGGTGTCAAGGGTCGGGATCGAACCCACGACCTCCTTGCATACCAGTCGAGGTAGCTGGTTAAAACGAACAATGTTCGGGTCTCATCCCCCCCCCCCCCCGACAATGGGGGGGGGGGTGAACATCGCTTCGCCTCGAGCGAGCTGACAGCGGAGGCCACCAGCAAAGGAGCTGCTGCCCCAGCTGGGAAGCGAGCGAGCGTGGCACGCGTGAGGGATCACCCCGGGAGCAAACCTCATCCCTGGCGCTGCTATTTCCTAAAGAAAACACTCTTGGTTGTTCCCGAAGGGGGTTTTTTATTTTCACTGACCGTGGGTAGAGGTCTCCTTACAGCTGGGAATGGCACACGGGGCTCGCAAGCTTTGCTGGTGCGATTCGCATCGAAACGGAACGCACCTCCGATGAGAACGGTTGGCTACGTACGGTGCGAGAGAAGTTCAACGCGCATACAAACAGGAGGATTACTACACAACTCTGGCGGCCGCCTGATGAGGCTGGTTTTTAATTACCGGCGAAACGTCACGGCACTCGAATTGTAAATGTTGTGGGTTTCCTTCTAGATTTGAAGCTTTCGTGACTGCAAGGATTCATACTCTTAGTTTTTTCGGTAAAGTCACGTAGGTAAAAAAATGAAATTTGTGTGTTTACTCTCCAACACACCGGTGTGCTGAACTAGTAACGAATTTGTATTTTTTGCTTACGTGACAACCCTTACTGATTGGCAGTGTCGGGTGGTGGCGGGTTTGACGACGCATTTATATTTACGCGATCTAAACAAAAAAAGCCTCTATTACGGATACATACAGGACATACAACATACCTTCAGTTCAGATCACACTGCTGCCATAGGTTCTTGCGGTTGTGCTCTACAGCTCTCCGCTGTGTTTATGGTTTGTTGCCGCGTGCTGTTCGACGTTTCGCTCCACGTTACTGGGAGCTCGTTGAGGAAGTGAACCCGAAGAAAGCACCCGGCACGTGGAGCGAAACGTCGGACAATGTTGCCGAACAACACGCGGTACAATTTGAGATCGCATCTGAGCGGGTTTCAGGTCAAGAAGGTATCGACATCTCTGGACGTTGTCACGCGGCAGGGTTATTGTTCATCGACTGCTTTGAAGGTTTCTTAACCCCAATTTCACAACTCGGGAAGGGAACGCGCCTGGAGAGGACATCCCGTACGGGGCGATGCAGCGATGAAATCAGCTCCTGCACGGGTGATATTATCGGTGGATTATCGAGTCGCGGGAATTGTGAGAGAGATGGCAGCTGCTTCGTCCAGCAGTGGATGGTGATAGCAGAACACACTAGTCAGCGGTTGTTAATTTTAATTCGTTTTATTGACAACGAAGGGAAGCGCAGGCGGAATCGAGAGTGTATGTACAATAAGTGTGTAACGATGCGTCAAGTCATCGATTCAAATTGAATGTTGCATTCACGAAGCGTGCATCGATTTGTGCGCTTAAGAATGTTTTTTTTTCATTTGTGTATGTAATAGAGCTCACGCGACCCCCCCTCCCCCATTGCTGCCACAAGAGGCCGCTGTATTAACGTAATTTTGTAAAAATCATGAATCAAATTCCCACCTCCCCGCCTAAAAAAAAGTCGTAACAATTCATGGAATTGCCACGGCTGGGATTAATCACAACGGGCGTTTCTGTACAGGTGTCTGTTCAGCGTCCGTCCGTGGTCCGCTGCTGCTGAATGCTACCCATTGTTCACACTGTTTATTTCACAGCGCCGCGCAGCCTCATTAAACGAAGCCTCAAGGGCAAACGGACATCTGACATTTCCAATGGATATTGTGTCACTGGGGGGGTGGGAGTGAGCGGCGCAGAGAAAGGCGCATTGCCCCATGAACCCACAGACCTGAGTTCGATTCATATCCGCGGACAGTTACGTCGTTGTTATTATTTTATTGTGCTTGAACTAAACCAGTCCTGGGCACTTCATTCACCCAACCTACACCGAACAAGGTTCATTAAATATGGTCGAACAATCCCATACCAACCATATCGTTGTGGGGAAGCCTTCATGGAACAGTGGATAAAGGGCTGTACTTTTTACTTTAGAATAGGATTGCTTTAAGGCAGATATATCCATAGCCGCTATTACAGCAGAAACAATCAAATCATTATCTAAAGCGCAATCGATATCGTCTGAGCTTCAAAGCTTAGCTACCGCCACGCGCTGCAGGTAGCCACAGGCGTCTGCAGAGAGGTTGCTACGTTGTGTGCGGCAGGGTCAGTGCAGCAAAAGCCATCGTTGTGCTGCACTTCAATGCTCCCACAACTACGACCCCAGCTTCACCGACCCGCACTGATTTAGCACGGTGAAGTACGGTTCAAAAACCCCCACGCAAGTCCACGCCACAATAGGGAGGCCCTCATCCAGCAGTGGATTGACAAAAGGGGGTGTACGCGTGTGCGCTCCGTGGCTTATTCTTAAATTTTTCCATCCCTCCCCTCCTACAACAACAAGCGCAATTCTCCACTAAGTAGCGGTGACGTCACCACGACGCTCGTGCCAGGTTATGTGCACCATGAGGCCACGTGAAGTGTCGAACGCCCGTTGGCAGGAGGTCACGGGGCAGACCCAGCAGGTGCCACGGGTCGACCGGACTGAGACGACTGGCTCCTACAAAGCACTCCCCCACAGACGCGCCTCTCCCCTGGGCCACGCAGCTGCGCTGTCAGATTACCTTCCCGGCTCGCACGCGCGTACGGCATAACCCTCCTCGCGCTGGGGACTAACACGGAGCTTTTTACAGTCTCTCTCTGATTGTTTTTTTTTTACAATCGAATATTTGACTTTTTTATTATTTTCGTTTCCTTTTTCAAACTCGTTTTGGCAAAAAGAAAAAGCGGCCGGGAGTTGTCATTTCTGTCCGGTGTCAGACAGGCATGCCCTGTTTTCCTGCATTCACTACGTTTTATTCCCATTAAACAGAAACAGATTTTTTTTTTAGACTGGAGGAATCTGATGAGCTATGAAGCTCGTTTTAACAGATGTCCTGTATCGGTAGGTCAAACAACGGGGGAGTCGATCAGTGGTGCAGTGGTTCACGCACTGCGCTATGAACCAGGTGACCCAAGTTCGAAGCCAGTCCACTGCTAATATCAGTGGCGAGTAGTATCAGAATCAGTACTGGGCTCCCCCTTCAACAACCCATACTGAGCGATGTAGTAAACATGGTCAAACAAAGCCCTCATTAATGACCAATATGGCAATTAGGGGAGGCCTTCAACCAGCAGTGGATTGCAAAAGGGGTTGAAAAACATTACTAAATGACAATCGCACTCATTTTTTTCTAGAGACATATATAATTTCTTCATGCAAATACAGTAGGGCTTTTTTCAAGTGAGGACAAGAGCCAAGGCTATAAAACCTCACATACAGGAAGCACGTGTGCAATTTGTGTGACTAATCTGCCACAGAATGGCTTTGCTTTCAAAAACCAGGCATTGTGATCGTTTGAGGATGCCTTGCAGTCACGGCGTAGTAATGGGACTGTATTATTGGCCTTTTTGTTTTCACCCCAAGGCGCCAGCGTTGACTTTTAAAGTGTTTTCTTTCTTTACTCCGCAGGGCCCAGTGGAGAGCGTGCGATGCGTTGTCATGCGAGGTCGTTGAAACCGACTCGTACGTCTTGCCCCGGCAAAGTGACACTCCGCTTCCCCTTCTTGGTTCTTTCGGTAAAGTCACGTAGAAGGGAAATAATAAAATAATAAAAATAAAATAACACATAATAAAATAATTCTCGCGAGGTTTCGGCCACAACGCAAGTATCCGTCCTCAGGTGAAGAACAGGTCTGTCGGAAAGACAGCGTGTGAATGTTGTGGCCGAAACGTCGTGATAATTATTTGATTATGTTTTATTTTATTATTTTATTATTTCCCTTCTACGTTACTTTACCGAAAGAACCAAGAAGATGACTCCGCTTCCCTTCAAGACTCGAGAACTTTATCTCACACGCACTACGCCGTTCACTTTTCTGAGTCATTTCCCCACGAGTATGAACGGCGCGATTAATTGCACCATCCTAACGATCGGCTTCCATTGCTTATTATTTGTATTGTTTTGTTTCAAACAGTAACAAAAAAAATGGGGCACGAGCACGACACGTTTCCGGAAAGGGATCACGGCTGACAGTCAACGAACGGCAATGCAGGTGGCTGCCAAGGGTACACGGCACCTCCGATGGAACGTCCACCGTGGGAGATGGAGCTGACGGTCAACGAACGGCAATGCAGGTGGCTGCCAAAGGACGCGGCGCCTCTGATGGAACGTCCACCGTGGGAGATGGAGCGATGAAATCGGTTCGCGTGCAGTTGCCGCATCGCAGAGCCGTGGGACGGCCTTCTTGCTTGCGAGATGGCGACGACTTGGGGAGGGCTTCATCCAGCAGCGGATTTGATCATGGCTGATTGTGATGATGATTGACGATGATGATTTGTGTTGCTGTTGTTATTGGTGTATCGTTGTTGTTGTTGCTGTCATTCCACGTTGTTGTTGCTGTTGTTGTTGTTCTTTTCCCCTGTGCAGGAAGTATCCGAAGAGCGGGTTTGGCGGTTCTCGCCAGCACGTGTTCGGAAATTTTCCAAGCCCCGCGTTCATTCCGCTGCCAAAAAATGCAGTCTTTCAACGCCGCCTGCGCTCGAGCGCTCGCTCGCCCAGAGGCCGATTCCGCTTGTCCTGCCGCACAGCGAGACTCGTCGATCCGTGCGCGCGTGAGCGAGCGAGTGCGCGTGCGTGCGTGCGTGCGCGCGCTCCAGCTTTTGTGCTCTTCAAATAAAATAACACTCTTTAACATTTGTCGAATAAATTATTAAATAGCGTTTCGCACGGTGGAACGTTGTCAGGTTGAAGTTGTGGGGGGGGGGGGGGGTGTGGGCGGCGGGGGGAGGGGGAGGGTGGGGGATGGGGGAATGTCGCCCATGAGGTTTCGCAGAGGCTGCGTCGATCGTCCTCGCCGCGCCGTCGTTACTCGCGAGGGTCGAGACTGCACGGGCGACAGAACTCCTGCCCAAAGGCGCGCACCCACTTGTTTGCAACTGCAGAGAGACGAGACACCTCCGATTAGCACGGTTGGCAACGTGCGGTACGAAGAAAGTTCAACATGCGTACGTACGTGTGTCTTCCTACATGCTATACACATATAAAGACGAACGTTCCCCCGTATGGCCCGTAACAGTGTTGGGGCAAGTGCTGTGAGCGAGTACCACCTATGGAGGCCGCCACAGCGTACGAGGGGGTGGGTGGCCAGCACCACGCTCGGCCGCCTTTGTCCCAGTGGCGATTTTTGCACACCGCACCAGGTACTCATTTGAGGCCGAGTCTGCCTAGGGAAGGCCCAGGACCGGTTCAGATATTCGACACCGATGTTGGCCACGAGCGGGAATCGATCCCGGGTCGCCTAGTTCGTAGCGCAGCACGCGAACCACTACGCTACCGCTCCCCCTCCATAAACACACACACACACTCGCTCTAAACAAGACTCTGCTGCTGTGGTGGAATTGTTAGCACACTGGACTTGGAATCAACGCGGCGATTGAAGGAGTGGGTTCAATAAATTCCCCCGGCCTCTGCTGTCCACCCAGCGGTCTAAACAGGTACATCACAGTCAGTGAATAGGCAGGCCACGTGTGGTGGGGTAAAGCGGAGGCACTCCCACCTCTTTCACAATATCTTTAGCCAGCGTGGATGAGTAGGCCAACATACCCTCTACAGTGGCTTTGTAGAGCTCTCTCTCTCTAATGGAGCAATTGCAGGGCTGCATCTTTACATTTTGAACAAGATTAATTACACGACTTTCACAAACTGCAATCCTACTGAACACCAATGTCCAAGCACTGTTCAAGCTCACGAATTAGAATGAGCTTTTTTTTTTTCCTTCCAATGTTTCTATTGGCATTGTGAGATGTGTGGAAGACATTTTCATTCGGAAACTTTTGCAGCGAGCAGTGCACCAGCGGGGCTCCTTCTGAAGTCCCACAGACCAGGCCCTTTTTTGACGCCAAGGGTACAAATTTTTTTCGCATGCCCCTATCGAGAGTGTTGCATTCAAATCAATCTCATGTTTAATTCTGCGAGCACATGGTGAGATAAGTACAAAATCACTTTCAATATGATGGAGGGGAGGGGGGCGGGGAGGTTTGCAGTCGTAGGTCACGAGGCTGAAACTATCAACTCATCACACATGGGTAGTTGCCCAGGTTTAAGCCCAAGAACTCGGCAGTGCTGGCTCAGTTTTCTGGGAATGGCCTCAGCCCCGAGGCACGCGGCCACCTTATAAACATAATTATAGATAAACAAACTAAAATGGCTTTCCAAATTCCAGTTCTACCAAACCCCCATTGGTCTACCTTTGCACATCTGTTACGTGTCTCCATGCACATGCCATGTCTACACTTGGTGCTTCTGGTGACGAGTCAAAACAAATGGAAGCCTTGTCCCATGGTGGAGGTGTGGGGGGGCTGGAGTTGAAAGGTCAACGTTAAGCTTTTAATGCGTCCCCAATGTTGTGCCACTTGCACAACGAGCATCTCACCGTGAGGCAAAGGATCCATTCAGGTCTCTTGCAGAACAGTGCAACCCAATGTGTTCGAGAGCAGCCCACGGAAGCAGCCACTACAGAGCTAACCTCTGAAATCCAGACAGTAGGGGGCAGCACTTCCAACCCACTTTGCCCCTGAGAGTAATGTTCATCGCATGACAGTCAAACTAATAAATTTTTAGTTGCAGTCATTGGTGATCAGACCGAGACCACCAGCCCACTATCATTACATGTGACTGAAATCTGCTTTTTGAGCTGGCCTCAGCGGTGCCAGCTCGGCACTCTGATTAGTGAGCCACCTGGCAGCCGCCTCTCAGGGCTGTTAAACTTCCCTGCGACGGGAGCTTCACATGGCACGTGGCAGCCGTGCCCCCCCCCCCCCCCCCCCCTTCATTTGCAGCTCTGTGCAGCTTGGTGAGAATGCAACCTCCGGCACGTACCCCACTTGTTGCCGACCAGCACGGGGCAGCCGGCGTGCAGCGTGTCCCCGTCTGCCTCCCCGCTGCGCTTCAGGTTCCACCAAAACACGGCGGCATTCTGCACGAAGCACGTCCGGGGGAAATGGGTGCGGAGAATCCGTTGGGGGGGGTGGGGTGGGGGTAAGGGGGGTGGGGGTGGAGGGGGTGGGGTAAGGGGGGGGTAGAAGTAATGCGGCAAACGGAATGGGAGCCCTTGCTGTTTTACATTTGACCGCTCACACAAGGGTACTTATCAAAATACTGCACGGGGAAAACAATGGTTTGCCACCTGCCGCTTCTAAGCGTCTGTGTGAAGTACAAAAAAACCGACGTGAAAGTTGGGACGTTGTTAGACAATGAAAGGGATCGTGGGCATGTATTGATTTGTCCTCTTTACAATTCAATGAATTGATGCAGCGTCACGATTCGATCCAATAATGGATTATTGATATCTTCAGGAATTTAATTGATGTGTCATTGCATGCCTCGGAGGGAGTTGGCTGGATCAGTTTGTACGCATTTTATTATTATTAGATACATAGGTTGGTATATTTTGACAAGATATTTATGCTGCTGCAACCACAGATGAAACAATCGGGGCAGGCGCCTTAAATCCTCCCAGCATCTGTCACCCCAGGAGTCAATCATCATGCGGTGGGGTAAAGTATGGGTACCCTCGACCTATTCCAAGACTTTTTATTTCGATGTAAAGCTTTCGTGACTGCAGGGATTCATCTTCTTGGTTCTTTCGGTAAAGTCACGTAGAAGGAAAATAATAAAATAATAAAACATAATAAAATACAATTCTCACGACGTTTCGGCCACAACGCAAGCAGCCGTCCTCAGGTGAAGAACAGGGCTGTCGGAAAGACAGCTGTTTATTATGCTTTATTTTTATTATTTTATTATTTCCCTTCTACGTGACTTTACCGAAAGAACCAAGAAGACTATTCCAAGACATCAGCATGGAAGAGTAGACCAAAATACCCTCAGGAGTGGCTCTCCATAGAACCCATTCTAGTGGGGCCCCTTTCGCCAGAGTGGCGTGAGAAAGCAGTTACAGGGCTGCACCTTCACCATCTCTCTGTGCTGTATAATCATTACTTGTCGTACTTTCAACGAACATCAGAAGCGGGGGAAAAAATATATGAATTCATGTGCCGTGCCGTCCATAACACTTAATGTTACCTTAATGACTGGAACGCTGAAGTTTTTGTAAATGAATGCCGTGGAGCCACCCACCTCCACGGAGCTGAGCTGCGTGGCGAGAAGCAAACGGAGACTTAGAACGATCTGTCATCGATTGTACAGAGGATTCATGAACATGGTGAAGTGCTCGAAACGACAGATTGTGTCATTCCAAATTCAAGCGCTGGCGAATACAGCACAGCGTCACATCTCCATATATATTTGAACGTCACATCATGTCCGCCAGAACAAATTAAGCGGCTAAGCCCAGTGCGGTATTTTGGAAATGACGTAACCGTCACTTTTCCATCGATGTTCACTCCGAGACATTTTTCACATAATCCACCTGCGTGTCAGTCCCCGGCGAGTCGGGTTCGTGACGTTGTCACTGCGTTCCTTTCTGTAAGCATTTTTTTTTTTTGCTGAAAGTGCTCAGGCGTCTCTGCCACCAAAAATCGGCGTAAAATCCGACGATGCAAAGTGCCTTTTGGGGCAATTCCTTCCCGAAGTGAATCTGGCCAAATATCTTTGCTCATAAAAGCACGAATAATCCACGTAAAAATGCAAGTGCATGCCTCTCTCTTTTAGTTTTACGATGGTTTTTAAGTGAAAAGAGTTTTACGAAATACCAGGGCCAACCCTGTGATCTTGAGAAGTTAAAGTATGAAACAAAGGTTGTGTAACTCACGTAAATTAACATGGAGGCCACTCGATTCCCAGCTGGCATGCGATACAAGGAGCTGTTTTCAGACTGCGTAAAAGAAATGCATTCGTGGAGAAAGGAAAAAAAAGGTACACGCGCTCACTTTTACGTGTCAATTATTTCAAAGTGCCAGCGAGTCATTCACAGCGCAACTGGTCCAGATAAAAAAATCTTGAGCAAAAAAAAAACCTCAAGAATTCAACAAAAATGTCAAGTGCTCAAGGCGACCAACACAAGTGTGTGTTAATTTTTTGTTAAGAAACTTTTAAGACTCGTCGTTAATTTGTTTCATGCAGCGAGCCATTGCGGGAGTTGGCACAGTAAACGAAACCGCAGATGGAGTCCATCCATATTCATCAGCATTTGTATACAGGAAGGCTCCTAGTGCATGGGTGTTGCAAGGCAGTGAAAAACTGCAAAGCTGCCAGCCCTGGGCCCATCAGAGGAGATCATCATCAAGTGTCTCCTCCATTTAAAGCAAGGGGGTGAGCAATGGTAGCGTGGTGAGCGCACTGCACGGTGCCTAGACAGGACTCGGTCCCAACCCTTTGCCATTGCTGCACCAAGTTGCCATAGCCGCTCACAATCATTGCGTTGCCGTAGACAATTTCCTGCAGCGATTACCCTAAAATCCCCCCCACAGTGAGCCACAGTTGTTTTTTTTTACTGCAGTCACTTTGCAAGCGAGCTGAACGGCGGCGATCCCGGTTGCGCCTGTTGGGGCAATGCCAGCCGTGCCGGTGGGCGAATGTGGACGGTGGTCTGGCTCACGGTGGCGTGGTCGTAGTGTGGCTCGTAGTGTCCGGCGATGCCGTAGTTGGACACCTGCAGCTGCTCCGCGTGCATGGGGCCCGTGTCCAGCCCCGTGATGGCCGCCACCCTCCGGTCGAGACGCCGGATGACAGCGTCCTGTTCCTGCTTGAGCCACGCGCTGCGTCGAGCAGCGCGGCACAGCAAGAACCGGCACACGTGAAATGGATGCACCGTCTCATCGATTCGGGGCGATTATTTTTGTTTTTATTTTGTTAGCTTTTTTTTTCTCCCAATAGCTCTCCGATGTTATTTCGGGTTGCGCCACGTTTTGTTCGGGCTTCGTGTCCGACGTTAAGTCGATGGCCATACATACGTACGTGTACGTGTGTGTATGTGGAACTTTTTTCTCACCGTACGTAAACAACCGTGCTAATCGGAGGTGCGGGGGCAAGGACAACAAAGTAAACACAAAAAGCAGCTCCAAAGAAACGAGTTTTCAATCTACATTTACAACAATGCCACGCATAATCGACGTATGTTTCGTCTTTAATACCCAGCTGGAAGCGGGCGCCATACCCTGCAATTCCCTGCGGAAATGGCTGGGCGGCTACGGGAGGGGAACTGACCTCTGAACTCGATACAAAATGGCCGAGTGGCTTAGCACGTTGACCGCGGAGATCTGCGGCTGACTTGAGGGAGCATCGCAATGTTCAAGGGCAGGGGAAACGTTTCTACCAAAACTGCCAAACCAACTTGCTTTGCTGGCCATAGCCGTTTCATTCGTTTAACTTTCAATGTGGTTGGATTTTCTTTGCAGATAAAACAGATTTCATGGGTTTTGTTGTTTTTGTTTTGCTGGTGATGGCGATGCACGATTGTTTATTGAAGTTTTCTCGTAAGAATGATACCGTGGTGAATTTCTATTTTAGATTTTAACAAAAATATCTCACAGCACAGCTGAGACTGATAATCAATTTCATGAAGCCATGTTTTTTTTCCATCTGGCATGCAAAGAAGACGTTTGGTCCAATGTTTTCTTGGAGTGTTTATTTTATTCATTTAAAAGTTACTTTGGAAACAAACTTATTATCACATTTGTTTACAAACTCAGCTGCTCACGAATAAAGCAAACTTCTTCAAATTAGTTTTCATGGGAACCTAAAATAAAAACCACATTATTTTCCCTTACTCACACTGCTGTGGGTTCCGCGGGTGTCAGGACACCCCTAACATGTTTAGATACGGCTAAGAGACTGGCACAATATTCATAATATTTATGAGTCCACTTCAACAAGGTGACAAAGATTCTGACTGTTACGATGACCTTTAATTACAGATTACTGCGCAAACAGTCAGCTCAAAAACTTGAGTCAGTAGCCAGTAGTTGTGTAGAATTAACATAATTATATGGCAGCAGAACTCCATTATCCATCAAACAAAGACAGTCACTGCATCGCCCGCTTTCAGATGCACTTCTGCGGCCGTCTGGAACGCTCCTTCCTTCGAATATTATAAAGCCACCGAAGCTACGCACGTTCTTTAGAACCGCTTTTTGTGTTTAGTTTGTTGTCCTTCCCCCGCATCTCCGATTAGCGCGGTTGCCTACGTACGGTGCGAAAGAAGTTCAACACCCATACGTGCATACACATCCGCGATGAAGTGGAGGGTGAACTTCAAGGATGCTTTTCAAAACGTAACCAGCAATCGGCCGGAACCATTCGCTCGGAGTACACCTCCGGCTACCAAAGCGGAGTGGCACAGCTCTTCGTCACAATGTGCTGCTCGTTCGTCCTTACCTCTTGCTGATTCTGTACGACACTGTCGTCTGCTGTCCGCTGGATGCGACGACTGACCTCTGCAACTGCACAAGGTTAATTAGGGGAACAAGTGGTTAAGCCTGCATCGTCACGGGCTACCGGCACCTCTTTAAAACGTTCCGTCAAGTCGCTGGGTTACACGCCGTTCCCATGCCTCCGTAATTGCACTCAAACCTCAAAACACTCCAGGAGGAAACGGAGAAACAATGAAGCAATTAGGGGGCGGATGTGGTGTCGGCAGTGGCATTTCTGGTGTCCGGTGCGAGGAGGGATGGGTGGGGGATGGCTGGGGTGGTTTGCAGTGGAATTATCTGCTAATGGGGTTTGTGAGCCCCATGTGTCAAGCAGGTGGAGGCAGTGGGAGGTAATTGGAGAGAGAAGGCTTGCTTTTTCAATTTGTGGTCAATTAGAGACGTGGCCAATCCGTCTTAAGTTACACTTATTTGGCCACACCTGGAGTGGAGATATTTTGAAAATTTGACTGCGTAGGTTTTCACGGTTGTGCCGCACAGCTCCCCGATGTGTTTCCGGGTTTAACCGCGCGGTGTTTGGTGCCAAGTCCGACGTTTTGCTCCAAGTGCTGTGACATTCTTGAAGCACGTGGAGAAAAACGTGGGACATCATGCCCAACAACACGCGGATAATTACAACGCCCTGTTTATCACGCGTCCCAACTGTCGAATCCTCGACACTTCTCCACTCACCCACCCACACTTGCAAACACACCCCAACGGGATGGGAAATCATATTTTATAAATAGTAAACTGAAAGTAACGAGAGACAACAAAGCTCATCTTTGTTAGTCCCAGCTCTGGCTTTGGGCATCTGTTTTTCCACATTAGCATTTCTTTTATTGCTCAGTCAGCGTTGGTAATTCGGGTGAAAACATTTAAAATCTAATTGCCGTGCTTCTCGGTGCAATAAAATCCTGCGTTAATAATCCGCGTTTCCAACTGGAGCGCATCCTCCCAATGGGCAAAGTTTATGATACAAACAAATGAAGAGCCCACCGAGATACTAAATCTTCGTGGCTACAGCTATCGGGTGCCATATTTTACGGCCCAGAGACAAACAATCATATCAATGCTCAGTTTTTATCGTAATCGCCATCATTCTCAAGGGGCATGCGTGTTCATCTTCTTGGTTCTTTCGGTAAAGTCACGTAGAAGGAAAATAATAAAATAAATAAAATAAACATAATAAAATAATTCTCACGACGTTTCGGCCACAATGCAAGCAGGATGATTGCGTTGTGGCCAAAACGTCGTGAGAATTATTTTATTATGTTTATTTTTTTTATTTTATTATTTCCCTTCTACGTGACTCTACCGGAAGAACCAAGAAGATGAATCCCTGCAGTCACGAAAGCTTTAAATGGAAATTTAGGCCTGCGTGTTCTTCGCTGTCCCTGTCTTCAAAAACATTTGGCAGCTGGAAAAGCCTGTGGAGTGGCAAACGTATGTAGACCTGAGCACATAGCAAGTTGCCAGAGGATATTATTACTACAATAATAATTGAGAGACCTTGTTTTCAATCCACCGCTGGATAAGGGCCACTTCCTATGCCTGCGCTGGTCATGGGAGATATTTGACCATACTTGCTGGTCCGTGTGCGTTGAATGAAGGCGGGGAGCATAGCCATGGAAGCATACCAGTACAGTAAAACAATGGCTTTGACTACTGGGTAGGCTTTCGTGGCTGTGCCGTGTTTAGCTCTGCGGCGCGTTTTAGGGTTGCGCGCACGTGTTGCTTGGCAGGGCATCCTGCGCGAACCTACGCGCTGCACTATCCCAAAACACATGGTGAGAACAGTAGACTTTACTGCACTGCCAACTCAAGTGCGCGCGTGCGTGTGTTTACTTTAAGTTTAAAGCAAAAAGGGGCAGACGTCTGTCTCCGTGCACAAGACGGGCGTGACCATGTAATCTGCGTGATTACGCTTAGGCCCAATTGGCTGATGGATTAAACCGTAAAATTAAAACATCCTATCAGACTTTCATGCGGGGAACACTCGAGGCACTCGCAGAACCCCGACCGCTCTTTCGCCACCCCCCAACCCCCGGCATCGCGGGGTGGACGCGGCTCACCATGGGAGCGGCGAGCTGCTTGATGCGCTCCGTCTCGTGGTCGTGCACGAAGTCGTGGAACAGGAGGACGCGGGGCCGCAGGCTCAGCAGCTCCTGCTTCACCGGCTGCAGGCGCAGCAGGGGGCTCCCGTTGTCCTCGTAGGAGCAGCCGAGCCGCGGGTCGCGGTACGCGTAGCGCTGCGTGCGGAGGGAAAGAGAAACGCACAGTTAGCGAGCGCCTATTGTACGCAGTTGGCGGTGTTATATGACAACAACAAAAAGGCTAACGAAGGAACCCTTGCCATTGTGTTTTGGTGGTGTGTATGTTGTGTGCGGTGTAGCGGTTAGCGCGCTGTGCTACGAACCCGGTGGCCCGGGTTCGATTCCTGCTCATGGCCAACACCAGTGACGATTATATGAACCCGTCCTGGGCCTCCCCTAGGTCGACTCAGCCTCAAACGAGCACCTAGCGCGATGTGTAAATATCACCACTCGGGGGTCAAAGGTGGCCTAGCATGGTGTTCGTCACCCACTCCTTTGTGTGCCGTGCCGGCCTTCATAGGTTCTCCAGAACAGCACTTGCCCCAACAGTCAGTTATGGCTACACAGAGGGTCTGTGTCTTTGTTGTGTGAGGGGGACTGGTGGTGTAGTGGTTAGTTTACTGCACGACGAATAGCCAGTTCTTTGTGAAAACGTGGGCGTGAGCAAGTGGCAGACAGAGGCATATGAGCGTGCTGCTCTCCGTACAACCTCCTCCTGATTCTAGATTTGAAGCTTTCGTGACTGCAAGGATTCATACTCTTAGGTTTTTTCGGTAAAGTCACGTAGGTAAAAAATAAATAAAAATTAATAAAAGTAATAATAGAAATAAAATAATCACTTGATACAGTAAATCTAGCTGCGACGGTCACACCTGATGACGGAGACTTGTGTTGCCTCCGAAACGTCGTGATTTATTATTTTATTTTATTTCTATTATTACTTTTATTAATTTTTATTTTATTTTTTACCTACGTGACTTTACCGAAAAAACCTAAGAGTATAACCTCCTCCTGCACAGTTCCAGCTTCAATAGGTGCTCGTTAACGGCACTTGCCCCAGCAGCTGTACGGCCATAAGGGGGGGTTTGTTGCCTCGTGTGTGTGAACGGACGTGTGAGTGTCTGTCTTGGGCCTCCCCGAGATAAAACCATTCTTCACTAAATTCCTAGTGTGGCGTTTGAAAAGCAATGGGGAGAGGGGGGGGTTAAGACAGCCAGACAAAGTCCTGGTTATACCACACACTTGTGTGCCATATGCCAGCTTTAATCGGTTCTGTTCAACACCACTTGACCCTACGCTCTGTGAGACTACATAGGAGGTCCTCCTTGTGCGAGTGTGTGCTCGTGTGATTGAGGGGGCGCAGTGCCGCGGCGGTTGGCGACACTGTGCCACAATGCCGGCCACGTGGGTTTGACGTCCTTCCAGGGCTAACGTCATTGTTGTGTCTTCTTGGTTCTTTCGGTAAAGTCACGTAGAAGGGAAATAATAAAGTAATAAAAATAAAACATAATAAAATATATATCTTATTATGTTTACTTTTTATTATTTTATTATTAAAATATGTTTTAATTATGTTTTAATTTTGTTATTTCCCTTCTACGTGACTTTACCGAAAGAACCAAGAAGATGAATCCCTGCAGTTACGAAAGCTTTAAATCGAAAGTTATTGTTGTGATTTCCACGCCGCGGCTGCCAACGTCAGGCGGCCCGAGTGAAATCTGGACGAGTTCTTCAGGTCGACTCAGTCTTGCATCGGCACCCGGTGCCAACGCCAGCCAGCACTGGCGAGAACAAAAAAAACGGGGCCGAGTAGTGGTGATGGTGGTGCTCACTCCCAGCACTTGCCTCAACAATCCGCACGGAGAAATACAACGCGGATTTCTGTAGCATCTAAATGCGACCGCATCTCAAGACAATCTATAGAAACGAGGGGGGTGGGGGCATATTGATTTTATGGAGAGAGTTTATCCATAGGGCGAGGGAGACAGCAAATCATGGGAAGGAAGGCCTTCGGCCTGGACTTGACGAGGGCCCAGGGAGGTCTACAACGCAGACGGCTATGGGAAGAGAGTTCCAGAGTGTGGGCGGCAGTCGAGGCGAGCGGGCGACCTCCCGGGTGAGCGAAGGTTGACTGCGCGTGTGTCTCTGTCACCTGGTTGCCGTGCGTGCGGCACAGGTACTCGTAGGCGTCCCGCGTGCGAGGGTGAGTGCTGCGCGGACGGCCGACCGGCGAGGGGGCGACCTCCCGCTCGCCTGCACTGCTCAGCATCTTCACGTACTTCTGCAAGTTCTTCAGAACCCTCTGGTGTGCCGGCTCTGTGGGTGAGCGGACAAAAAAAATGAACTCTTAAACATTTTTTTATTTTAGCAGGTAAGGTGCCCACTGAGCAAAATAGCTATTTATTTCATAAGCTCAACGAAGTGGCTTATCACGTGGACATTTCTAGTAGCCAAACACTCTAAATGCGTGTTTCTAAATGCGAAGGGAAAAACCGGAGGACCCAGAAAAAAATCCACACGACCAGGTGGAGAACACGCAAACTCCAAATACACAGCAGCAGGCGTCAGGGTCGGAATCGAACCCACGACCTCCGGTATACCAGGCAAGGTAGTTAACATCACTGGATAGGGGCACCCAAACCAGTCAGGTACTCGGCGAGAAACGAGGCAAAATGTGCTCCCATCGTCAACCCACGCTGACCGGCATGGTGAAGTATGGTCAACCCCCCTCCCCCCACCATATACGATAACCTACATCATGGGTCCTAATTCAAATCCACTATGGATCCACAAACCCTGACGTCGGTCAGGATTGTGAAGGAGCAGAGCAGGGGGTGTGCTAAGAATCGCTGGCTACGAACAGGACACTTTCTCGATTTGAATATTCATTATCTTGTGTTAATTCGTTTTGTAATATTTTAGTTTAATACTTGTTTGTGGAATACATTCTTAAAATAAACGTTAACTTAAGTAAAAACGAATCTAAGTTGCTTACCATATGAAAGCAGCTCTGCTGAAAGGTTCATGGCTTTCTGGATATTTCCAATCTGCATGAAAATATATATCACCATGTTAGCGAAATAAAGTTTACAGCGAATCCCAACTGGAATTGGAGTTTGAATTGAGGTTGAATTAAGTAAAATGCACAGGCACAAACACGTGTTCGTTTTAATATTACCCGTATCATTTAGGGTCAACCAGGGAGTACGGAAATGGTTCTTCAACACCTCAGTGTGGGCTGCATGTTGCTCGCTCATGGTAAAACAAATTTAATACACGCTTTCATCCCGCGGCATGTTTGTCTCCATCAGAATCCGAATATTTGTACTGGACGAATCCGATGAACTATGAAGCTCTTTGTCACAATGTTAGGCGCCTGCATAATTTCATAGAACAGTCCTCCGCTTTTAAAACAGGAAACTGTCAATATAGCACTTTCTTTCCAGTATCAAAATATAATATAATAGGTTTCACTATATTGTAGCTGCTCACCCCGAGCTATAAATGCCCTGATACTGCATTGTCTTTGTGCCGTTCGCCTTTTGGCGTTCTAACACTCGGCCATAAAGACAATGCATACATTACCAGAGCATGTTTTCGTTGGCATGTTCACCACAGGTACGTGTGGTTATAATGCAGACATGATTTCTTGAAAAAGGTTTCTGTTTGGTGTTTTAACATCTTGACACAGCTGTTTTATTCCCAGAAAGGGTAAAACCTATTCTTATATGAAACTGTCAAACGATCTCCACAATCACCTCCATTCAATTACCTTCCACAACAGACCATAGCTCCTAAGAACACCCCATTCACCTTCAAGGGAAATGCTTCAACGTACGTTTGGGACCCCCACCCCAGACTATTCAGACGGAAGCGACAATGCGGCTCAACAAACACTTGTGAGCAGGTGATGGGACAAAGATGTTAACTCCTTCGCCAGGTATGCAGGAGGTCGTGAGTTCCATCCTGACCCTGATGCCTCTATATCTGGAGTTTGTATGTCTCTCTCCCCGTGGTCACATGAATTTTTCTCCGCAGTTCCTCCGGTTTCTCCCTCCACATTTAGAATCATGCGTTTAGAGTATTTGGCTGCTATAAATTTCCACGTGATAAGCCACTTTGTGGAGCTGTCATTTGTGGCCAGGTCACTTCTAGCTCAGTGGGCCCCTTACCTGATAAAAAATAAAATTTGTAAAAATTGTTAGAATCAATCCGCGACATAATGAATGATGAATTACGCTAATGTTCAGGGCAGCCAATAGGTTTTCAACGGGCAAGGCAAAGAGCCATGGGATTCATATGGTAAAATAAATATTGTAAAAAAAAAAATGTATATAATGAGTGGCGGAGGGTGTTGGGGGAGGTGGTGGGCGGGAGGTGGTGGGCGGGGGGGGCGGGGGAGCAAGTGCGTGCCTTGAAGTGCGTGAACGCCAGGTGGTCCAGCGCGTCCACCATGCTGGCGTGGTCCTCCAGGCGCCGGGGCGAGCCGCGTCGCGCCCTGAAGCCCAGCGCCGACAGCTCCAGCCAGGGCAGCGAGTGGTACCAGTCGCCCTCCTCGTACGCCACCTGGGAAGGAGGGTGGGTGGGCGGGCGGGCGAGTGGCAACACCGGCTCAACAATCGCTGTAGGTGAATCGCTTCAACCAATATTGCATGTAAGACAGATAGATGATAATTGTTTTTTTACCCTTCTATCTGGCAACAAAACTGACACCTTTTTTACAAGGAGTCATGTTTGCATAGACCAGAATAGCTGCAGCCATAATGCAAACAAAAAACATAACTCTGATAATATATGCACTGTCCTTGAAGTTGATTGGTCCACACCCGAGACAGCTTTCCTTAGAGCCTAGTCTCACATGGGTTGGATCAGATGACGTCAACTTCAAGGACAGTGCATATATTATCAGAGTTATGTTTTTTGTTTGCATTATGGCTGCAGGTATTGTGGTCTATGCAAACATGACTCCTTGTAAAAAAGGTGTCAGTTTTGTTGCCAGATAGAAGGGTAAAAAAACAATGATCAGATTTTTCACTGGCAAATGAGGTTCCAATGGTGTAAAGACAGATAGATGTTCATTATTGAAAAGCATCCACGAGCTGCAATGAGAATAAGAGTCTCTATTAAAAGGGAGACCTGGGTCACAATGGCGATACAAAGCAATAAAAGGTGGAGCTAAAGGTGCGGTCGTGCAATTGCGTGCTCACGGCACTGCTGACGGAAAGGCCTCCACTAGAGGGAGCTCCAGAGAGCCCCACTCGAGTGATATTTACCAGGTTCTTATACATACAGCAGTGGCCACTCGTCCAGCAGTGGATTGTGCAGATAAATGTGTAAATCAGTGGCTTCTCACTCCACTCTGATAGAGGAGCAGATGAGTTGTTCCACGCTGGGGCGACGCGGGCCAAATGGCTCAGCGGTTGAGCAAGCGGCTCGCAATCGAAAGGTTGAGAGTTCACATCATCACATCATCCCCCCGGGGTCAATAAAATAAGTACGTACCCACTTTGTGGATAAGTCAACGGTGGTTAAATCTTGACTTAAAGCTTTCGTGACTGCAGGAATTCATATTCTTTGGGTCTTTCGGTAAAGCCACGTAGATAGAAAAATAATAAAATTATCACGACGTTTCGGCAATCGTCATCACCTGAAGACGATTGCTTGTGTTGCGATCGAAACGTCGTGATATTTTTATTATTTTTATATCTACGTGGCTTTACCGAAAGACCCATAGAATAGTGTTATTTTGTGGGATAGACTCTCCCCAGCCATAGGAATGTGGAATTTCGACCACTGGGTCAGGGTCCGCAAACAGGCGAATATCACTGCCGCAATGCTCATTTGAGAAAAGAAATCACTTCACCTTGCATCCGAACATATTGGATGCGCTTTAACAGGAGAGGGTACCGCAGTGACGAGATGTTAACTGCCTCGCCTGGTATACAGGAGGTCGTGAGTTCGATCATGATCCTGACTGTATATGTGGAGTGTGCATGTTCTCCCTGTGGTCGCGTGGATTTTTCTCCGGGTCCTCCGGTTTTTCCCTCCACATTTAGAAACGTGCGTTTGGAGTATTTGGCTGCTGTAAATTTCCACGTGATAAGCCACTTCGTTGAGCTATCATTTGTGGCCAGGTCGCTTCTGCAAAAAGAGCTACACAGCTCAAGTAGATCTTACCTGGTAAAAAATAAATTTCGTTTTAACATGTAAGAATGAATCTGCACCAGAATGAATGACAAATTATTATTAATGTTCAGGGGCGGCCCATAGGTCTTCAACGGGCGGGCTAACAGCCGCCGTGATCCATTGCGGACCTCTCGCGGCGCACCTTGCCAAGGTGAAAGCAGTCGTCGGCGGAGAGTCTGGCCGCCACTGTGGCCCCGAGCGCCAGGCTCGCGGCCTGGCTGCGGAAGCGCCCGGCAGCGAGGGCCCGCGTGTCCAGCGCGTACACGTCCTGGGCGCGCATCAGGGCACGTGCAGCGCCCTCCAGGTCCACTGCGCCTGGCATGGGGCCCTCCGCGTAGGCCTCCTCCAGCACTGGAGAGACGGGATGGGTGGGTGGGGGGGCACCAGGGAGAGGACTATTCAATTATAAACTAAATCATTTTTATTTTACCAGGTAAGGCTCACTGAAAAAATGCAGCCCCTGCTGTGTTGAGTTGGCTTTAGCCTCCTCACCTGCTGATTGCACAGCCCCACGTGCTCATGAACAATTAAGCCTTGGGTGTCGCATCTTTTCCTGTTGTACATAGGGGGTGAGAGCTAGAGCATAATGCATGCACCACACTGTTTAAGCGTTGAACATTCGATGAAAGTTTGTTTGAAAATGAGGTTTCGTATGCCTCCCATCCTTGAAGCAGGGCCACGCTGCAGAGTTGTCTCAGTGGCGATGTAAGTCGCCAGCGCAGCAGGCAGCAAGCATCTTCCCTACAGCGCCAACCCTCGAGGTCCCTGCGGGCAAAGCCCTCAAACGAGTTCACCTCCTAGGGGTCTTCCATGCACCCCCCCCCTCCTGACCCCCCACTCCCCCCCCCCTCCCCCCCAGCGCACACTCCCTATCCCCCAAGTCTTGACAGAAACGGTCGATCTGACGCAGCCGCAAGGCCCGTGTGTCGCCCCCTCGGCTTCCTCCTCTTCCTCCCTCCTCCACCCCACGGGGTTCTCCATCTCCGAGAAGGCGGTGGGGTAGGGTCAGCCGAGGGGAAGCCAGACCCGGGAAGACTCGAGGAGTGGAACGCAACTGGGGGAACCGCGGGCCAGTGTTTAAAATTGAAACGCACATTTGGAGTTGGTTTATTATGTTATGGCCATGCCTGATATTACACAGGGCTGTTGAAAAAAGGGTCCCGCATTGCCGCTTAACCGCTGCTGCGAGCCGTGAAAGTGTGAGTGCGTGTAACTAAAGACAGGCGCCTGCGTGCAATCTGTGTATATCGCGGTGTCTATGGCAACATCTAATGGTTGATTTTTTTGTATTAGTACTGTATGTAGAATGGAACGACCGAAAGACTTTTGTACGCACTTGGTATGTGGCCCTGGGTGTACAACACCAGCGTGTGCGTGCATGCTTCGTGTGATGTGTGTGTGTGTGTGCGCGCAGGCGAATGATGTAGTGGTTTTCACACGGCACTATTAGTCCAGTGACCCGGGTTGATTTCTGGACGAGGCATAGAGCGGCAGTGCCAAATGGCATGGGGCCTTGATCTGGGCTCCCCATAGGTTAACTAAAGCCTCAAAATGAGTCCCCGATGCTGCATGGTTACTGGGGGAAACGAAGGCATCCAGGCGCGTGTGGAATAGGTATGTGCGATGTGTGGGAGAACAGGCACACCGCTTCGCGTGAACTCGAGTGCGTGGGACAAAAACCACGTCCGATTCGAAGCTCGCAAGCAGCTGCGCCCAGGATTGTTCCGTATGCGAGACCGCTTGATTTATCTCGACATCCTATCAGAATGTAGATATAACACGACGCAGGTGGGTGGAATTCCGAACTCGGGATGCGACAGCTCTTGCGCCTGCCAGGCTGTGCAAGCCGTGCCCAAGCGGGCCGCCCGGTCGATGCCGAATGCCCGCGCACAGAGGAAAGTCGTCGGAGGCCAACCGAGAATCAAAAAAACGTGTGCGTCGCGGGAAGCTGCCAGAATTGCGTTAAGAGGGGGAAAGTGCCTTATATGGCCATGCAAGGATTTACACTTTTAGTTCTTCTTGTTAAACGTGTTTTTCTGACACTACCATCGAAAGTCAATCCACTGCTGAGTGAAGGTCTCAGCCCCTCCTTCCCCCACCCCCACCCCAGGGCCATTTGCATCCTTCAAGAGCCCCACGACGCATCAATCCACCTGGCACCTGCAACACGTGCGGGCCGATCGCGTCGCTCCGTGGCCGAGGTGGAGGCGTTTTGCCCCCTTCTCACGGATTTGCCTTTAAATAACGGCGGCCCTTTCCCTCGCCAATGCAAGTCAAAGGAAGGCGCTTTGCTCGTGCTGTGGAAGCGAGTGCAAACGTGCTGCTTATTTTCTTACTCACATTTCCCGAGCACTCCGTCTGATTTAGGGCGTTATTCTGAACTGTCACTGAAAAAATGCGTTCTAAATATAGGTGTGATACTACCGCACTGGGATTTCGCGATTGTGCCGCACGGGATCTCCGGGTTGCGTTTTGCAGGTGCGCCACCGGGTTTTGTTCGGCACGGCGTCCGACGTTTTGCGCCCGTGGCTTCTTAAGCATGCGAAGCAAAACGTCGGACATCGCCGCCGAAACAAACGCGCGGGCAGGCAGCTGGAAAGGACCTCTGAGAGATGTGCGCTGGCGTATTTTGACTGCTCGAGGCGTTTCGCTCGCTTCAACGGAATTGCGGCATGGAATACACGTGCTCACCTTACACGCACGCGTTTAAGTGCAAAGTAACGCATGCTCTGCACGGTTAGTAAACAGCAATACTACGCTGCATACTGAATCCACACATTTGCACATAACAGTACAAACGTCTGTCCACGTAAAACAAAATGTATAATCTACTTCCCCAAGTCCATAAGCATGTGTTTTCCAGCAGCTTTTGATTAGGGTGAGAAGAGGCGTCATCACTTGAGGCTTTCTCAGCGTTCGGAGCACTAAACAAATGCCGCTGGGTTCCCAGATGTTGACGGTAATACCACAGGGGGCGTTACGGTGGTGAGATGTTAACTACCTCGTTTGGTATGCAAGGAGGTCGTGGGTTCGATCCCAACCCTGACGCCTGCTGTATATTTAGAGTTTGCGTGTCTCTCTCTCCCCGTGGTAGCGTGGATTTTTATCCGGCTCCTCCGGTTTGACCCTCCACATTTAGAAACACGCGTTTAGAGTATTTGACCGCTATAAATTTCCGCATGATAAGAAACTTCGTCGAGCGATCATTTGTGATAGCCAGGTCGCTTCTGAAAAAAAATCTGTATAGCTAAGAGGGGCCTTACCTTGGTTAAAATAAATATAGTTTTATAGTTTACTTCAAACTAAAATGATGGCGAACATTCAGAGCACAACAGCAGAATTCTATAATCTGCACACGGTTTACATCAATGGCTGGGTGCTCTTTGAGTTGTCAAGACTGGATATGGTTATGTTTTATACACATGCCATTATTTTTTTGTCATGGAATAGTTGTATTTTAGTATATATAACCTTGAATACTTTTTACCGTTCAGTGTTTTGAGCGTGGGAAGAGCGCGATAGAAATCAAATGCATTATTATTCTGGTTAAAAACAGGTAAATCTCAACTGCCTATGGGCGTGAGCGGTATATGGGGACACAAAAAAAGACAAAGATCCCCCATAAAGCTTGTAACAGACTGTTGGGGCAAGTTCTGTTCGCTAGCACCTATGAGGGCAGGCACGACGCACGAGGGGGTGGGTGGCCAGCACCACGCCCGGCCGCCTTTGTCTCCCCACTGACGATGTTTACACATCGCACCAGGTACTCATTTGAAGTAGAGTCGACCTAGGGGAGGCCCAGGACCGGTTCTGATAATCGTAACTGATATTGTAATGAGTGGGTTCATAGCGCAGCGCACTAACTGCTACAATGCCGCTCCCCACCACTTAGGCCAATACCAACACCCGCCATTCCCCACTAAGTGTCGGTGACGTCACCACGGCGCCTGTGCCAGGCCAGGTGCACTTTGAGGCCACGTGAGGTGTCGAAGGCTCGCTGGCAGGAGCTCTCGGGACAGAGCCAGATGTCATGGGTTGGCTGACCGAGATGATTGGCAAATGCACCAGCTGTGCCCCCCTACTGTGCCACTTAGGCAGACGCGCACATACACGCGCGCACACGCCGTTGTGATGCGCACACGAACACACGCGCGCGCGCACCGCGCATGTTGTCGTCCGCTGCCGGGCTGTGCGCCACCCGTGCCCACTCCAAGTGCAGGCGCTTGATGAGGCCGAAGGCGTCGAGTGGGTTGGTGGGCACCGCGCCCTCCGTGCTCGCGACCCGCGCGTTGTAAGCCCGCTCGTGCGCTCGCTGCACTTTGTTCAGGAACCTGGGAGAGGAGGAAGCCATCATCGATCCACTGCTAGATGAAGGTCGCCCCCCCCCAAGCCGTCGCCATTCCCCCCTCCCCGCCTCCCCCACCAGTCCTGCAACAGGAGGATGGCGGCGATCCGTCCAGGTTACAGCACGCGATCCAATTTCATACCTCCATCTCCACGGTGGGCGACCTCTCGAGCAGGTGTCCTCCATTGTCTGCCACTCTGCTGTTAGTTTCAACCACCAGCCATCGTCCCATTTCTCGCGAAGGAATTGCCCGTGTGGTTTTTTTTTTCCAACGTTCAACCGTGGACTTTCCTACCTTCCGGACTCTCAGTGTGGGAATCCTCTAATGTGTTGTTGATGGCATGAAGTGAAAACTCAAATTGGATGTTATGGGGGGGGGGGTGGTGGTGGTGCGGGTTGTACAGTGACCAGATCTGAGACCATTGACTCGCTGCACAGAGGCCTGCCTGGGGCTACAATTGAAGCTGTGGCTCTTGCTTCAACTCGAGTGGAGAATGTGCTCATGGCTCCTGAGGACACTTATCACGGGGCTCATCGATCACTCCTCTTTTCAGCCTGTGGTTGCAGAGACATAATTAAGTATCACGCACTTAACGCGTTTCTCACGCCCTCTGGGCAACTGTGGCCGGACTCGCACACTCGTGGACCTCCGAACCCGAGGGTAATGGTGGGCAGGAAAGTGCATGTGTATATGGTAGAGCCAGCCCAGTGTTTCCACACAACGACAACAAATAAACTGCTGACATCAAGTGGAGCAGCTACCACTAAATGCGCCAAAGTGGTATGTTAATCCAGCGGGAAATGGATGGCATGTTTCCCAGGTACACCTTTTTCTATTTATTATTTTATTTTTCAACAATTTTATCCCGATTTTGCAAATATGCCTCACATAATGAGACAGAGAATCCATCCATATCGCTCACAGAACAGTGCAGCTCTTCACGTTAGAGAGAATGGCGGACGGAATCAGATTCCGTCGAGCTAAACTCTGAAATTCATTCGAGTGAACTCTGGTCCACACAGTCGGCTGTAGCAATTTCCCTCTCACTCAGCCAGGGAGGGTAATGTTCTTCTATTCAAATTTAGCACCATTAAGCTACTGGCCTGACCATCAAGTCACTCGGATTCGAAGCAAAGATATCAGCAGTGCCAACTCAAAGCTGACCTCTAAGTAACCCGGCCACCTCCATCTAGGTGTTCGTTAATAAATCCAATTATCTGTCAATGGATTGCCACATGCTTACGCGCAAATGCTGTTACTCCTTTGTGAGTATTTAACAATATATGGACCAGAATAGGGCACTTTACCGCGCGTTAAGTCAAGAGTGGTCAGGACTGGCCCCTGCCATGATAGTGTGGAATTTCCAAAAGCTGGATCTTGACCGTGGCTCAAATGTAAAGAGAGCATGAACAACTTAGACACCAACTTTTGTTCAACATTATCAAGACCCCAGCTGGGCCCAGAAGTGAGAGGGTCAGGAGGTATGCGGTCAACAATGCTTGACTCAGGGAGGAGGACGCCCCTGCCATGCATAGTCCCATGGGATGTTGGCTATCAACAACAAGGCAACTCCTATGACTAATGGGACGCAAGCGTAGGATTGATCACCCTGTCGCTGGCCGCTTTTGGGGAGGGTGTATAGTGTGAAAGGCCGAAACACCCTAGGCACCAAAGGTACACTACTGACGATGCGCTCCCCAAATTTCACCAGGCTCACTGTTCATGAACTCTTGGAAGTGCTTGCACAAAGGATAGTAACATCTCATCCTGTGTTCTTGGAATAGGCGTGCAGGTCTCTCAAATGCTAAAGTGTATCAAATTATATGCAAGTGGTGCCACAGACGTCATCACGAGACAGTTGCGTTTTCGTTAATAATTCACAGCCGGCTGTGAATCGACCTGTGTCGAGGAGTGTTACTTCAGTCGCCCATACTCTTTGGCTCTTTCGGTGAAGTCACGAAGATAGAAAACTAATAGATGCTACGTCAGCAGTTCCCTTGCTGTGTTTGTTTCTCCTGATGACGGTTGCTTGCGTTGCGATCGAAACGTCGTGATCTATAAATTTTCTATCCACGTGACTTTACCGAAAGAACCAAAGAGCATGGATTCCTGCAGTCACGAAAGCTTCAAATAAAGATTGAGTAGCCCACTTTATACACAAGCTCGCCTCTGTTATGTAAATGCCTTTCAAAGAACGTTCGTTAGATGTCAGCACGCAATTCTCTTCTCATCGCGAGCTTCGTGACAAACCATTCGTGACCAGCCCCATCAACTCGCCGCATCTTGAGAATCCGGCCGAAACCCGGATTCGATTTCATGATCTCAGCAGTGGTGCCCACTCGGTGCTCCGACTCATTGAGTCACCCGGCAATTTCTCAGACGCTAATTACGAAGCATATAGCAATACATCGGTTCGTGGACTGGTAGCGATTTTTAAGGCCCACGTTAAATTCATAAAATCGATTTTGAATTTACTTTATTTTTGCCTTCAGCCTGACCTTTGCGAGCACTGAATTGCATCCTCATTTTTTCTGGTAAACAACATTACAGTCCTTTGTCAATCCACTGCTAGATGAAGGCAACCTCCCCGTCGTTGCTGGGGGTTGTTTGACCATTCCTCCCCACGCCGGCCCATGCGGGGTTGGAGAAGGGACGGGCCTCGGGACCGGTTCACATATCGCTGATGTTAGTCGTGGCCCGGAATTGAACGACCGTACGGTGCTCATATGGCCGGGTTTATAGCGCAATGCGCTAACCACTGGACCACCGCTCTGCCCCCACACATTCATTTAAACCTGCACGACGTCTGCTGTGTCTATTAACAGCCAGAGATCCTCTCCCCCTGCTACCACGGGGTGTAAATCCATTACCCCCGTACCAACCCGCCCGTCTCTAATCACACACTCTCTCCCTTGCTCCCAGTGCCTGGGTAAGTTCTTAAAACAATTCATCATTCGTATATACGGTATTGTTTTAACATGACCTTTGCGAGCGCTGAAATTCACATTAATTTGAAGAAAAGGAGGCACAAACCGATACGGACATTTGTGAATCAACTGTTTGATGAAGGCATTCCCGAAGCCATGACGGCCACAGAGGTTGTGCGAAACAGGTGGCTTTTTATTTTTTCAGGCTACAGTCTACATTATAGACTGCCAGTACACTCACTCCGATTAAGAACCAGGCTACAGTATTATTTTTCTTATTTTTATTCACTTTATTTCTATTATTTTCCTTCTATCTACGTGACTTTACCGAAAGAACCAACCAATATACTTCACCCGCTGGTCAATACGGGTTGGTTAAGCGGCTGAGGTTTAACTCAATCTCTGCCGATGTTCGCCGTGATAGGGAATCGAACTCCGTTTCCCAGTGACACCGGCCAACACCACACCGCCCGGTCACCGCATCCGGAAGAAGCAGCCACCTCTGCGTTAGAGTTCATCACCAGAATCATCAACAGCAGCAGCAGCCGTGAGCAATGCATAACTACATGAAGGCAATCTATCGTCTTACGCCATTTGTATGCGGTTTGGTCACCGACCAGCGTGGTGAAGTATGGTCAAACAATCGATTTGGCTGACAGGACACCGGGGGAGGGGCGTGGAATGAGGGGGCCTTCATTCAGCAGTGGATTGACACCGCACGTACAATGTGGATATATTATAATACGGCGTCTCAACGTAACATCATCCCCGGAGCACAACAGCGAGACACGTGCATCCCGAGTAAAGAAATCGCATTCGTTAATAACAATTATTCAGAGCAGACGGTGGAGGGGAGTCGGTTTGACGAGGCCACTCACCTGCGCAGGTGCTCGAGCCGAGCCTCCTCCAGGGACAGGTACTCCCCGAGTTTCTGCACGAGTCTCTTCTCGCTGGACACGGCCGCTTGGAGGTCAGATAGCGCGGTGAACATATCCGATCCCTGCGCGGATGACCCAACCGATCGGACGCTAGCGCCGCACATCACCATCGCCCCCAACATCGCCATCGTCGTCGTCACAAGCACCGCCATATCATCACCACCACCACAGTCGACGGTGGTCGAGGCAGCAGTCGGCAGGGTCGGGCGCGCACGGAGCCTGCGGACGCGCCTCGCCCAAAGGAGCAGGGGGAGTGGCTGGAGATGAAACGTGGGAGCACAGAGTCGCGAGGAGGAGGAGGAGGATTAGTAGCACGGAGGGATGAGAGGAGGGCGAAAAGAGGAGCAGAAGGAAGGACGCTGGTGTGGCTGAAGATGAAGCCGAGACACGCAAAGGGTCGCAAGGAGGATGAGCGCAAGGAAGAGGTGAAATCCCGGGGAGAAAGAGGTGAAGGAGGAGGACGATGAGAATCTTCGAGTCTCCCGGTGGACTTGGACGACTGTTCTCAAAGGGGGGTGGGAGTTCGCCTCGATCCGCTTGCTGCTCAGTGCATTTGCTGGCGCTGCGTGCCGACTACCTCCCCTAAAGTTTCACGCGCAGCAGTTGTGCGGCAGAGCCTGAGAGTCGCTTCTGATGCACGTGCAGCGGTGGTGCAAGTGGCAGGGGGGATGGGTGGGAGAGTGGGGGTTGGATAAATGACTCCGTAGCCGGAGGGGGAGGAGGAGGGTGGGGTGACACGAGGAGGAGGAGGATGAGGGCGTGGCGCCTTACTCGGTGATCATCGTCGTCATTATTATCGTCAGTGGGCCGTGGTCTGTTCACTGCTAGATGCATGTCTTCCCAATTCCTAGTGCGTCTCTCACAGTTGCGTCTCTCACGATGATATTAAAAAAAAAATACTAGCGCCCGAACAGGGACTTGAACCCTGGACCCTCAGATTAAAAGTCTGATGCTCTACCGACTGAGCTATCCGGGCTCTTAACTGCAGCGCCTTGTTGTGATCTTTTAACCTTCATCTCAAATGAAGCGTTGTGATGATGAACACGTGCGTTTGTTGTGTGTAAACTACAGTGCATCCATGCAAAACAACATCACAAATAACACGTGTGTCATTGTATAACAAGTAACGTATCCTACCATGAATAAATTATATCCACTAAATATCCGTTAATCACGGTTCTTAACCACGCTCATTCTCAGCCATGATCTATCCACTGCTAGATGCAACAATTCACCTATAGCCCCACGGTGGCGATATGTTAACTATCTCGCCTGGTCTACAGCAGGTCGTGGGTTCGATCCCAACCTTGAGCCTGTATATTTGGAGCTTGCATGTCTCTCTCTATCCCCGTGGTCGCGTGGATTTTTCTCCGGACCCTCAGGTTTTTATCGCCACATTTATAATCACGCGTTTCGAGTATTCGGCTGCTCTCAATGTCCACGCGATAAGCCACTTCGATAAGCTATCATTTGTGGCCAGGTCGCGACTGAAAAAAGAGCCACAATGCTCAGTGGGCCTTACCTGGTCATATAATAAGTATAACCCGTAAAAACAAAGTTTTTCACTATAAATCCTTTATATGCGTGGCAGCGAACTTAATATAAAGGATTTAAAAATATATTCGCCTGTAGACGACGCGGGGATTGATCCCGCGACCTTTGGCATGGGAAGCGAGGGCGCTACCAACTGCGCTACTCCGCCACGGCCTGTGGAGGGGTTACGCTCTGGGCTCTTATACTGTGACGTTCAGCCAAAGCGATGAATGAGTTCTATTTGAATATATGTAAAATAAATTTTTTTGCCTAAAAAGTGTAAAATTTTGGGAATTTTTTTTCACGAACATTAATTGTCTGGCACAACGAGTCTGTGTGTAAAATGTCAGCTCGATTGGATCACGGGAAGTGGGTTAAAAAACGACCGAAAGATTTGCACGGTCGTAAGCAAGCAAGCACGCAAGCAAGCACGCAAGCAAGCAAGCACGCAAGCAAGCAAGCATGCGAACTTAATATAAAGGATTTAAAAAAAAAAACATCGTTTAAGTTTAATTTAACTTATCTACGGCGGACGTCGCCTTGGGCTCGTTCCCTCCGTTGGCTGCCACTCTGGCTGGCCTCGATCACCGCCTCTACAAGCCGAGTCTACACCAACGGGGAGCGACCAGGCTTTGAGATCGAATCGCCGACGCGAATTATTCGGGGCAAATTATTTTTGTTACTGCCAGCACCCCCCCCCCCCCTCCAAATTGCAAAACTCCAAATATACAGCAGGCGTCTGGGTCGAGATCGAACCCACGACCTTCTGTATACCAGGCGAGGTAGGTAACATCTCGTCACCGTTAAAGTAATCTGGAATGTAGTTCATATGAATATCCAATTCGTTTTCATTTAATAGTGAAATAACAAGTATGCATTGATGCACAGCGATACCCCGATTGACGTCTCCCCCTTTCGCGTAGTTTCGCAAATACGTCTTCACTTCATTAACACCGCTGCCTGGTTTGCGTCGCCTCAACCCCCACACCTACGTCGCTGACAACATCGTCGGTCCTTTCTCGTTATCCGTCGCCTCTCAGCCTTCGCCTCCATCTACCCTGTCAATTGCTTCGATGTCGATATGCGTTGCGCCTTTCGGGAACGCATCCCCAACGTAAACCGGGGTATTGCTGTATATTTAGTGGCGGCACGGGGGGGATATAATGGCCAATCTTGTTCATCCTTACAGTGAAAAAAAGCGGGGACAGGCACAGCATCCGTACCCCCCCCCCCCCCACCACTCTGTGTTTCCACAATCCATGGGGGTCAGCGCTGCAGGAGGAGGTTATGATGATGGTGGTGGTGGTGGTGTCTGCGATATGCATCGAGGAGGATGGATTTAACTCCGAACGGAAGAGGTAATAGGCGGTGGTGGAGAACGACGGCGTTGTTCGTGGCAGCCAAACGAGAGAGGAAGGCGACAGAGAGGACGCCCCAACGCTGCGAAGAAGCTTGATCGAGACCAGCTCGTGCGCTGGACCCACGCGGATAGTGCCATCGGTGCATCAGCACGGTCGTGAGGTGGCGATGATGGAACGAGTCCGTGATGGTGATGGAACGAGTCCATGAAGAAACGCGTGACCCACAGACGATTATATTCTTGGTTCTTTCGGTAAAGTCACGTAAAAACCCCAAAATTTTAAATTAAATGAAAAGAATAAAATACAATAAAAATAAAACATTTAAATAATACATTTAAAATAATACATTGAAAATAATAAAAGCAGTGGGTTTTTTGCTTTTATTATTTTCAAGTTATTTTTTATTTAGTAACACTATTTTTATTTTTATTGTGGGTCTTTTGCTTTTATTATTTTCAATTTTGTATTTTATTTTGATTATTTAAATATTTTATTTTACTTCATTATTTTTATTTTATATGGGTTTTTTTCTATTTACGTGACTTTACCGAAAAAAAACAAGAATATGAATTCCTGCAGTCACGATGGTTTCAAGCCACAGACGATCAATTATCGGTTCCTCCCCGGCTGAGCCCGAGCCAGAGATGTGCCGCGCATGAGGAATTTACGAACGGCGTCGCTATTTTTGTGGCTCAACGTGAAGTCGATAACTTCAACGCGGCCTTTGAATGCAACTTGTGTGCGGGATGTAACCACCACATCACTCCGCCCCCACCCCGAATGTGCCCCATCGCGTCTGAAGTGGGAAGATAAGCAGGCCTTCAGCCGAGTTGGAACTTGGATGAGTGATCGCCCGGCGTGCCATGTGGTGGTGGTGGTTGCGTGCGCACTGCGCTGTGAGCCCTAGGGGCTGAGTGCGATTCCCGGCACAAGGCTCATTGACATCTGTGAGGAATATGTGAGCTGGGCACATGCCTCTCCTAGGTCTGCTCAGCCTTAAGTTAGTGTCTGGTACGGTGTGTAACAAAAAGAATATCAACACGTGGGAGACAAAGGCGACCAGCCGTGGTGCTGGCCACACTACCCCTTTGTTTGCGGTATCGATCTTAATAGGTGCTCGTTAGGGGCCGTCCATAAATGACGTCACGCACCTAGGGGGGGGGGGGAGTCCGACATTTGTGACGATGTGTGACGAGGGGGGGGGGATTTGAGAAATGTGACGTCACATCAAAATGCGCAAATTTAAATAAAAATAGACAACGCGTTCTACTTAATTAAATATACTTTTTAATAAATGTTTTCTCCTACAACATCAGAGTGCAGCGCCACATTAAATACAACCAAAATCGCGTGACGTCATTTATGGACGGCCCCTTAATAGCACATCCACCAACAGTCTGTACGGCTATAGATAGGTATTTGTGTTTGCGTGTTGATGTATTGTTTTTTTGTTACGTTGATGACCGGCGAGCTGAAGTAAGGCCAAACAACAACCCCGACGATCTGCGCGGCTTGTAGAGAGGTTCTCATCCAGGAGTGGTCTCACGTGTGCGTGAACGTTGGCACGCCGTTTGCAAATGACAGAGGAGTCAGCCATGTGGCATCCCCCACGCACATCCTCCGAGCCCATGTGCTGAAGAAACACAAACATGGGCGACCTCATGTGGCGCGGCCGAGAGAGACAAAGGCGGCAACGGGATAAACAAACTCTGGAAAAGAACGTGGAGCTTTTCCTGGTGCCAAATTGGCCTGCGACCAAATCGCCCGACATGCGATGAGCTCGTCCGATCACGCAAAGCTACGCATGTTTTTAAGTCTGGTGAAAGCTTGAATGGGTGATCAATGATTATAGGTCAACACACTTTTTCTGGCATAAGGTATTCTAACGGTTTTAAGGTAATTTTGGGGTGCTGATTCCAAATCTGAGATATCAAATATTGCATTTTCAATCAAAACTGCAGAAGAAAAATATTAAATAAATGTGGATATCTACATAAAATGATATTATAAACACACTATCCTAAAAATACAGCACCATATTTTAACACTAAAGCAGTCACTGACTCGCAACAACTTGCAATCATAAGTGACAGAGTTAATTTCGGGTAAAATCAATTAAAATGGGGTATGCCGATAGCATAAAAATTAACCCGTAAAAACAAAGTTTTTCACTCTAAATCCTTTATTTCCGTGGCGGCTAGAGTCCTCTCGTCCTCTGGCTTGAGATGGCTGCCACCTATGGGTCAGATGATTGTCTGCCAGCATTAAGCAATTGGTAATTAAATATTTTTAAAAAATTCCCTAAACAGTGTAACATTTAAGAATTTTTTTTCACGAAAATTAATTGTCACGCACAACGAGTCTGTGTGGAAAATGTCAGCTTGATTGGTTTACGGGAAGTGGGTTAAAAAACGACGGAAAGATTTGCACGGTCGTAAGCAAGCAAGCAAGCACACAAGCACGCAAGCACGCAAGCAAGCAAGCGAATTTAATATAAAGGATTTAAAAATGAAATGTGATAGAGCAAATCTGAGATCAGATTTGGAATCAGCACCCTGAAATTAGTCTAAAACAACTGCAAAAGTCCAGGCCAGAAAGAAATGTTTTTTTTGTTGACCAGTGTTACAATTCTTGCCAGTGCCGGATTAAGCTAGTGCAGGGGCCTGTAGCATATGTTTTAAAGGGGCCCTAAATACACAAATATTACAAACAAAATTTTACTTGCATAGGAAAGTAATTGTATTTTTTAAATTTGCA